GATCATCTACCGATCCGTGTACTACTCGACATTGACACCGAACCGACTGTCGAGGTGAAGAGACGGCTCTGGAAGGCCATGGATACCGAGAAATTCGACATCTTTGTGGCCGACAATCTCCCAATGCTACCGCAATTAACAACCCCCCAACGAATCGACGAACCACCACGGCTGTCGACCCCCCGAAAAATCGACGATGCAGTGAACCACCTGATCGAAATCGTTCAGCGAGGTGTACAGGAATCGACACCATGGGCCAAACCAAGCCCGCATGCGAACCCATCCTGGACCAAGGAGTGCGGGGAGGCTGTCAAACACTCTCGCCGCATATTCCGTCAATACCTTGCGACACATAGCGAGGAGGACTGGGAGACATATAAACTGGCTAGGAATCAAAAGGGGAAGGTCATCAAGACCGCTCTCCGGCGGGGCTTCCGGAGTTTCATTGAAGAAGCCGTGGAGCAGGGCCCCCAGGGGCTATGGAGGGTGGCCAAATGGGCTAGGAACCGAGGCCAACAACAGCAAGGAAGCGCGATGCCGGCGTTAAAGAAAGCTGAAGGAGGGGTTGCAGAGACAGACGCGGAGAAAGTCAATCTACTCCGTAAAGTGTTCTTCCCGCAACCACCAGAAGCCGACCTCTCCGACATATATGTCAACCAAAGACAACAACAACAAGGCCACGCCTACCATCGAGAGCAGTTCCAACTACCACCGGTAAACGTCACCGAAGTGAGAGCTGCAATCAAGAAGGCGCCACCGAACAAAGCACCTGGGTACGATACGCTGCCGAACAAGTTATGGCGGGTGCTAGCGGAGCCAGGCTCACGATCAGAGAAGAGATTTGTTCCACTTCTCACTACCATCTTCGACGCGTGTGTCCGAATTGGACACAACCCCCAGCACTTTCAAACCTCCGTCACAGTGACACTACGAAAAGCCGGCCCACGAGACTACCGAGTCCCAAAATCATATAGGCCCGTCGCATTGTTAAACACACTCGGCAAGATCCTCGAAGCGATTGTTGCCACACGAATCGCATGGTGTGCGGAGGAACATAATCTGCTCCCAAAGACACACCTTGGGGGACGAAAGGGGGTGTCTGTCGACCACGCGATCCAGTTGATCTTAGGGAGAGTATACCAAGCATGGGGAGAAGGTAAGATAGCGAGCATGCTACTCCTAGATGTGGCTGGAGCATACGATATGGTATCTCACGAGAGATTGCTATATAACATGCAACAAATGGGACTCGGTGCGCTCACTCCATGGGTGCAGTCATTTCTCACCGGTAGGAGCACACGAATCAAGTTACCAAACGGCTATATGAGCGAAGCCTTCCCTACACCGACCGGCATCCCGCAAGGATCGCCAATCTCGCCGATCCTATTCCTCCTTTTCAATGCACCGCTGGTGCGTACGTGCACACTCCAAGGACTGCACTACGGGGAGAGCGAGGCATATGGCTGGGTAGACGATGTATGCATTGTAGCTATCTCTAGGAGCTACGAGGAGAACGTGAAGGTCCTTGAAAAAGCGCTCCAGAAAGCAGACATATGGGCCAAGAAACATGCCGCCAAGTTCGCACCCGATAAATTCGAACTGATACACTTCTCCAACCCGACAAACATAAAAGCGAACCGATCGGCCCAGGATGAAGACGCAGTGCGATCAGTCCGGAACGCAGACACAGTGCAATCGGTCCAGAACGCAGACATAGTACAATCGGTCCAGAACGCAGACATAGTGCGATCTGCCTGGGACACGGATACAACTCAAACGACTCAAACGACTCAGTCGGCTCCCGAACAAGACATCTGGGAGGTGCCGGATGATCCATCAGGCCATGACGGCATGCCGATTATCATACCAGGAGACATACCAACTATCCTCGCACCCACAGAAACGGCCAAATACCTTGGAGTATGGCTCGACAAGCACCTCAATTTTACAACACACCGGAAGAAGATGCTAGCGAAGGGAGCGAGCAGCCTTGAGGCACTCCGAGGCATCTCAGGTTCCACATGGGGGTCATCATTGATTGCCATGCGGAAGGTATACCAGGCAGTCATCATTCCACAGATGCTATGGGGGCTGTCTGCATGGTACTGTCCAGCTGCTAGAGCCATGCCAAGGGGCGATCTCGACAAGCTCACTAACGAACTAACAAAAATCCAAAAACGTGCGGCAATCCTGATCAGTGGAGCTTTCCGCGGAACGGCGGGAGCGGCACTCGATATTGAATTATTCATCACCCCGATCAAATTACGAATACAACAAATCATAGAGGAAACAGCCATACGGATCCTCACAGGACCACAGTGGGCATGTCCACAAATTGCATACAAAGCCAGAAAACCAACGGAACAACGACTTGGAGGCTGGTCGCCACTCGAAGCGCTGGCATTGAAGAAGCCATTACGCCTACAACCGACAGAACAATGGGAAAGGAAACGTGCATTTGTCCTTGCACCATGGGAGACAAGGATCCCATGCTTCATTGAGAATCAAGAAGCTGCATTGGAAACCTATAACAACATTTACGAAGAAGCAGTTTGCGACAAGCAAGATAAAACCGCCATGATTTTCACAGATGGGAGCGGTTTTGCTGGGCACATTGGCGCATCAATGGCCAGTCTCCAGCACGGAGTGAAGTCTCAGAGGAAATATCTTGGCAAAGACTCCCAGTCCACAGTGTACGCTGCCGAGCTCAGCGGCATTGAAATGGTGCTCAAGGAAGCGGCAGGGGGGAATAACGAGGACACAATTCCAAACAACGGGGAAATTCCAAATAACGGGGAACAACAGGCTCGAGAAGTGGTCATTTTCTCTGACAGCCAAGCTGCCATCCAGGCAGTCCAAAACCCACAGCGACCGTCTGGCCAATACGTGCTCGCACTGATATATGATCACGTACGGGCCATCCGGTCACGGAACCAAAACCAGCAAAATCCAACGAATATCACTATCAGGTGGATCCCTGCACACGTTGGTGTGGACGGCAATGAATTTGCCGATGCGGAAGCGAAGAGCGCAGCGCTTCTTGGTGCGGGGATGGGAGTTGCGACCGGGAGCGGAACGGGTGAACCGATAATCCGCCTCGCCGCAGCTGCTAAGAGAGCGGTTCGCCAGCGAATCAGAGAGCGGTGGGAGAAGCAGTGGGAGCGGGAGACAACTTCCGCACCCACAAAGCGCTTGGTGCAGGCGCCGAACAAGAAGACGCTCCGTCTATACGAGGGACTGTCGAAGCCACAATGTGCAATTTTGATTCAAACGCGCACAATGAGGATCGGGCTTCGACACTTCTTGTTCAAAATCAAGGCAGCGGAGACAGACCGGTGTAGTTGTGACGAAGGTTCACAGACACCGAAGCATGTTCTAATGCAGTGTCCACGACACATCATTCCGCGCACGAAACTGTGGGAGCAGCTGTGGGCAGTTGGTATCAAGGAAATGGATTATGACAAGATCGTGTCAAACCCGCAGGCCATCCGCTACGTGGTCAACTTCATGCACCGAACAGGTCTCCTCCAGCAGTTTCAACATATGGGACTCGAGGACGACGACGACGACGAACGAACAGGCCTCGCGGCCATGGAGCTAGGTGTGGAAGACGATGGGTATTAGCCAATGACGATAAATGATGCTGTGAAACGAGAAACTCAGCCAGAGTCGACGAACATGCCAATCAACAACTGGCCAGGAGAAAAACACCATCAATTGAAACTGAGGCAGGGGAGGTTACAGAGGATGGAAGGGAAGAGTGAGAGTGAGAAGTGAGAGATGGAAGATGGAGGGTGCACTCCATGGCGATCGTTATATATTTCTTATGTATGGGTTTTTGGGATTACAGGGTTATTGGGATGGATCTACAGGAATGGGCTGATTCCACGCTCTTTACGATCAGCATCTGTATACTCTTGGGAGTGATCCCAACTCGGCGTTTGGCTTCGAGTTCTTGCTTCAGTTGGATGAAGCGCCTGCATAGTCATACGCAACTAGTTAGACTGCAACAGGTTAATTGAACTTTGATTGATTGATTGATTGATTGAACCCCTAGACATTATGAGTCCCAAGGTGTTCTCTATGATCTCCCTGTATCCGATAGAATGGTCCTTGTAGGGATGAGCATAGGGCTGTTTTCAGCGGCAGCTGTAGCCACATCTTCATCCCTGTTTGAACTTGCCCACACTGGTTCTACTAGTGTACGGGTGGCCTTCCGCTTTGGATTGCGCGTTGGTCAGGTATCACATATGCTTGAGCCCTAGGGCGAGGTTCGTAAAAGCTGGGCATACGTGGTAGCTGGACTTGATGTGGCAGAGGTGTAAGATGCACTGGATGCGTATAATACGGACACAGTAAGTGAAGAGGTCATCCTAAGCTTTGGTTCGTCTGACACTAACCTCTGGAAGAAAAACTCGGATATTGTCGGGTATGCATCAGTCATGCAGACTCAATTTCGGTTGGAATTACGGGACCTCCATCTCGTCTTGAAAGTCTCTTCCGCCATTCGCCCGTGTGTGGATCTACAGCAGTCTCTCCTAGGTGCTATGCACAAAGCGCCTTACAACTCATGTATTACGGCTTTGATACGTTTAATCAAGAAAACGTGGCCGAGAATCTCACCTCGCAGCTTGGCAAGGCCCTAGGGCCAGGCGCATTACCTCACATATTCCTATAGTTATGCTTGCCACATGGGCAATGAGCTCTGTTATCCTTGGCCTGGTATATGGATTTCGGCGCCGACGGGCTAAAACTCTAGACGGTTACCTGTTCTCTAAGCTTAGTGCAGACTGTGCTAAAAATATTGGTGATTTGCCTGCCACTATTGGTCCTCATAATCAATTTTATAAGAACGAGGGTCTGTAGAAGTTGCCTCGATTGGGCCGCGATATGCTAGGATAAATGACATTAATCATACAAGTACAATCATACAAATACAAATACAAATAGATGACAGAGCCCGTTCCATGTTACGATCCTTTACCTCTTCTTGTTCCCTTTCATCCCCATACCACCCATTGTGATGCCGGGGTTTGGTTAGACACCGGCCCATGCTGGCTTGCAAGCCCAGCGACATAAAACATGCACTGTCTCATAGAGAGAGACGGAATAGAACTAGGACCCTGAGAGGGTTCGTAGATATCGGTTGACCACACTACCGGGGAATACTCCACATGCCATTGTCCGTTTGCCAGCTGGGTCTGGTAGAGGAAGATAGTCTCTTCATAAGTGCTTAGAAAGCCATACGCGGATCCGAGATCCCTCATATATAAGAGGGGCTGTCCGAGGAGGCGCCTCAGACCTTTCGGTGTATGATACGCGTCACTTATGGAATGGGCTAGGACCCACGGAACTTTGAGTTCCCCTATCAAACTCAACTCGTCATTGCCTTGGATAGTTCGGGACAGGCCAATGACGTCCGGGATATTTTCATAGATGATCCCGGAGCACTTAAAGTCCCCGAAAGACAGGTTTATTCCCTGGGCCTCCAAGGCCACTCCCAGTACTTGTCCTATGGCTTGTTGAAAGCGGCCTTGGAGACCATGCTCGTCCCCAACAGAAACAATATCTGGCTCCACCTGGTGCGGGCCGGGGCTGACAGGACTTGTAGTACTGCGGCTAAAGGCCTGGGCATTATACGCTGCCTCGACCTGGTTCTGAAAGTTGGGCCAGGGGCCCAAACTTCCGACATATCTGAGCCTGTGGAGGGCGGAGGAGGAGGTTTTAGAGGACCCCTGGTTCAATGGGGGTAGGGGGGATTGCAGGATCTGCTTCACACGGATACGTGTTGTGGCCATTTCTTCTAGCTGTACATATCAAGCTGGAGTTAGTACGAGTTGCCTACTATTACGTGTGAAAATATTGACACGCAATCTGCTCATTTTGGGTCATGACTTACTCAATTGGACTCGATGGCATAGAGGGTTTGATGTTGGGGGGGGGGGGGGGGGGGGGGGATGGCATAGAGGGTAGGGAGAATCTGCCAACAACGCTTAAGGTTAGTATAAGATGTTGTTCTTATAATGAGTTGGTCTGGAATGTGACTTACCTTTCAACTGCTGGCAAAGGAAACTCGTGAGAACTCGGAGTTGAGGTCGGGTGACAGGGAAAGGAAAGGGAAGGGAAGAAAAAGAGAAAGGGGAAGGAAGGATAGTATACTATAGAGAATATTTTATTGAAGTGTGGTCACTATTTAGCGAAATCCGTGTTGCCCAGAGAGCTATCAACACGACACCGACTGACCACCCCGATCTTGCTCTTCGGTTGAGCACTCTCGCGAATACTCTCTCATTCCGTTATGAGCAAACTGGGAACTTTGATGATTTGCAAAAAGCATTCCGCCTTGCCCAAGAAACAATCGATATTACCCCCAAAGACCACCCTGATTTAGCCATGCGATTAGGGATCTATCTACCAACCCGATATGATCAGACAGGAGACTTGAATGACTTACAGCACACAGTTCGTTTTCTTAAAAGAGCCGCCTATACTACTCCACAAGACTACAATGACCCGGATGTAGCCCTCGTTTCCATTAATCTAGCTAGCTACTTCTCAACTCGGTATGACCGAACTGGAGATCTAGATGATTTGCAAGAAGTAGTCCGGCTAGCGAAAACAGCTGTTGATACTCTCCCAGATGACCATCCCTGACCTAGGACACTAGCTACATATTTATCAATCTTTCTCTCAAGCTGGTATCATCGAACTAGAGACTTCAAAGATCTACAAGAGGTCGTCCGACTGGCTGAAATAGCTGTCGCCGCTACCCTAGAAACCCACTCTGGTTTAGCAAATCGGTTACTAAACCTAGCTAGTAACCTATCAACCCGATTTAGTCGATCTGGAACCTCGGACTTGGATGGTATATAGTAGGAGATTTGGCTTACCTAAGGAACTATTAGTATTACACCAGAAGGCCATACCGATTTACCATATTGGTTGAACAATCTAGCTGTTTACATGTCAGAACAATACACTCGAACGGGAAATTTGGTTGATTTATAGGAGGTAACCCTAGTTACTTAAAGGGCCGTCGATAATAGCCTAGAAGATCATCCCAATCTAGCATCCTATTTGAATTCTAGCGATCCACCTTTCAGTCTAATATAAAAACACACATCAGCATAATGGTAAGGCCACGGCTTTGATGCACTTCTCGCAAGCCCTCGATTTCTATAATGTAACCCCACGACATCGCATCGAAGCTGCCCGTCGAGCGATCGACCTCCTTATTCTGGATAGTGACTTTGCTATAGCTTAATTGCTAGCTGGAAGAGCGCTAGATCTCCTACCTCTCGTATGCAGCCGTTACATCTCCCAGGAGGACCAGCAGTGTGCCATTCAGCAAATGTCAAGCCTAGCTGTCGAAGTATCCTCTTTCCTCCACCAAACATACAACGAGCTAGCTTGTGCTTTAGAAAACCTAGAGCATAGGCGACGCCTCATTATTAGATACCTCATTGACAGTAGGGGTTTGTTTGGAGGAAGGGCTACGTGGTGCACGTTGAAGTACATGATACAATGTGAGATTGATAGATTGTTGAAGAAGTCAAGCCACAGAAGCTAAGAAAGAGACTAAGGAATCCGATAGGGTGATATCTCAGATATGCCCAATGGGCATTCCAACGAAGCGGATAAATTCGATAGGCTTCGTCACAAGGCTTTTATGCCCATTCGCCAAGACCCGCTTAAGACTCGCCAGCATTTCTTAGAAGACCGTGAAGAATCCGTGGCACGCTTAGGAGACTATGTAGCGGATATATGGAGACTAGAGGGGTTCAATCGATTCCTTCATCCCCATTCTTCCGAGGCCTTAGAAGAAAATGCCACCGACCGGCCGATTGTGGTTGTGAATATCTCATCCGTCAGTAGCGATTCCTTATCCCGCGTTGATAGACGGAGAGTCAGGCCAGGAGATTCCTGGCTACATATACATCGTGCAGACCGAAGAAGAAGCCCAGAAGCTTGCGTATTATAAGACAAATGGGTACAAGGAAGCACACTGTTTGATTTATTTTGTTGACAAGGAAGAGCCTGTCGAAGCGTCAAGAAAAACTTTGGTGTATGCCGGGGATGTAAATGCTTTGTAACAACAGCGATTCGACTGCAAACTGTGGCTGCATCAAATAAATGGAAAATTAGTGTGATCCGGCGGCTTTGGTTTCTATTTTGCATTCTCCTTCGAAAAATGCCTGAATAAGGTCACTTTGATAAAGAATACATAGCGTCAGACTTTTTTACTCTTAATGTATTGGCATTGAGAGCAACTACTATACGGTCGGCCCGATAATACGGACAAATTCTTAGTTAACAAATTGGAAGTCTTGGGCTGTCATTCGATATTAATGAAATACCCGAAAGAAAAAATCAATGATATCAACTTCGATTCCTGTAATTGCGGCAAATATTCGATTCATTGGCGCAGCGCATTTGAGCTGGGGAAACGGACATCCATGATGATTACCAGGCCCACTTGGTAGGGTCTTTCTCCCAACCGGACTTTCTGGGTGGCCTAGTTAAACGCCAGAGGACAAAGGTCATGTCGGAAAATTTCTCGCCGGAATCGAAGCGGTCGGGGTCTCGGAAACCTGCAATATGCCTAAAGATAGTTAGCATATTCTGTTTTGTAATAGGTGTATATCGTATATCACATACATATCCCCGGTTGACTCGTCGTAGATAATCTTCTGCAAAAGAGGGAGCCCTGGATGCCATCCATGACGCTTCAACTCTCTTAGGTTTGTCAGTTTCACTCTTAACACGCTAAAGGGGATTCCGTAAACATACTCCCAGATATCGCGGAACTTCGTGCGGACGGCCTCGCGTAACCGCGCCGATTCAGGCCTCCAGAACTGATCCGTATCAAGTGGCTTCCCGCTGACCATTTCCCACACAATATGTGTTATGTAGCCGTCTGGAACCACGCCGTACTTGCCTTGCTTTCCTTCTTTGTAGGCGAGGAGAGCTGGGACCACAGTACAGTGTTGTTTACTGAGATCCTTCAAAGCTTGTAGCTCCAAATGCTTACGGGGTGGAGCTGCCTGTTGTTGTCGAAGCCGGGGGAGCTGGGACTCTGTTCCGGGGTTGGGAATCTGAAAGTAAATTCTCATGAATGCCTTCTTGCTACTGTCTGTCGCACTGTAGCAGAGGTACTTGGACACGGCGAAGGAAGGTCCACCACCCATCTCAAGTTCACGGTTGGTCATTCTTTGGAAATCCTCGGTGAGTTTCTCCTCGAGAACCCACTTCTGAGGCGAGGGAGTGGTGAAGGTCACTTGTGTGCCTAAGCAAAGATCTGAATATCCCATGATAGACATGTTGGTGTGGAGATTTGATGACAAGAGTGCAAAAAGAAAGAGGAAAAACTGATCAGAGATTAAAGTTTATGAGTAGAGTGAAGAAAAAGAAATGAGAAGGTGAAGGCGTAACAATGACTTTGTTGATTTCTCAGCCTCGTGGATCAGGCACCGAAAATTTCATTCATTCCAACCTTGGAGGTTTGTGTCAATATCATATTGTTGTTTGATCATCCCACTTTTCTTTTTTTTTTGGAACGATAACAGCGTCAGATTTCAACTTTCGGAGTCAGTCTGGATTCATTCAAATGCTTTTGTTCAATACGTACACACTATCCTTCGCAACCCACATAGCCCAGAGACGTCTGAACTAGTGGTCCTCCGCATTGTTCCTGATCCAACCGTCTGGTTCGGTTCCATCAGGGCCACTTCCAGGATGATCGAAGCACTCCTCGCAAAGGGCCCAGTTTCCAGCCTGACAGTAAACCCATTTTGTTCTGCAGCCTTTGACTTTGCATTTCGTAAAGGTATGCTGAGTGTTCAAGTGCAGGCACACTAAGCAAGATCCTTTTCGCCCAGATGACATCGACCCGCTTCGTTGGTTTAGTCAATAAATCTCCATGTGAGCGAGAGTTGGATTTCTAACCATAAAAGTCTTCTACCTATCAATTTGATGTGCTTACGATAGGGGATCTTTGTCGTTGTATAGCGGGTCTGTCAATATTCGGAACATATCTCGGTGTCATCCAGCCAAATCATGAAAGAAAATGGGATCCTGCGTGATTTTATGTTAGGATTAGCTTCTTGGATAGCGGGGTGATTGTGGCTCCTTGGGCGCCTAGACCTCCAGTGAGGCATACTAGTTAATGCATTGTGACGGCTCGGCGCTACACATTTTTGGTAGGCCCTGTTTCTCTTCTTGAACACAATTTGACTTGGATGCTGCGAAGGTGATTAGTCTATGGTGTCGTAGATATTCCCAGATGAACCCAATTTAGGCCCCGGTTTTTCCTCAATGGTTGGATCTATGGATAGAATATTCTCTTATAACCCATATCACGTCCTTCTTAGACACTAAGGTCCAGCCACGTAGCGCCTAAGCAGGGCTGGGAACCGGTCCATATTTATGTAATGTCCCGACTTGCGCATGGGCTGCTGGGAAATAAATGGTTGGGTCAGGATTATTCTTGACGTACTTTTGCAACTACCCCGCTCGTTTGCGGCACCTATATTGAATTGACATCGATCGGTTATTGGTCACTTTCGTATCTCGAAGCTACAAGGCTGACACGACAACGGAGTTTGGACCAATGAACCCTATAACCGCAGTAGCCAAAATACCATCTTAGCACATGCATTATGTACGCTAGCAAATTTTACATTGGATCACGAAAATGACTGATCAACATTCACACGTGAAAGTTGGGTAACTATAATGGAAGCTTTTCCTCCACTAGATCATTTAACGGACCTTCTTCCTTCCGATATGAAGCTTGCAACCTAGTGGCTGGGCTGCGTGGGCTATCTACATAGGTACGTACCATGGTCTGCAGGGGTATAAGCCGCACACCAACAAACGACCGCTTTGAAAGAATAAAAGTGGCAGCACCCTGATCAATGGTTGTATTGTGTCATAGATTGTGCTAGCCATCAAATCCATATCCGAGACCAGAAAATACCCCACTGAAGAATATCGTATAATCGACATTCCGTGGAGGAGGCGGGCCGAGGTTTCGGATTAGCCATAACTCTGGCCGGTAAGAGGATGGCTTAGAAACTCGTAATAGGAAATCCGTAGTTTTTCCACTATAAACCACCCTATATACTTTCCGTACTCGCTTTTCACGGTAGACTTGGTAAATACCGCCCGTCTGAAGATTAGTGGAAGGTCGGTTCTCTTAACAATTAAAACAGATATACTTATTAGCGTCAGAAGGCACACTAGAGGATAGCTCCGTACATTCTATATGTAACTAGGTATAGCAGACCGAGTGGCAAACCCTAGGACCACCCGATATATTTCGCTTGCCGTAATATAGTATTGAGAGGGTGAAGCTTTATATAGTGAGGTCACGGATTTAGGGAATAGAAGAGTAATACTAACTCTTAACCAAAAAGGATACCTACGCTATTAAGACTAAATTAGTCGGCGTAGATTCGTGAAGGATCATATCGATAAGCTTTATGGGTATGGGACTTCGCCGAAAATCCCTACCGTAGGGATTTAAAGTGAATATATAAGCTAATATCCTAAATCCTAGGGAGCAATAGAGTGCTAAAGTATTAGTAATAAGGTGAATAGGGGGAGAATGAAGTATATTCCCATTATGAATCTTAAAAAGTGCGATATGCCGTATAGAAATGTCTATCCTATAAACAGTTCTTTCGTCATTATTACTACGGGCTATAAAGTCTTTTACTTTTATAGCTAGAGTACTGCCGATCTAGTCGGTGTTATAGCACACGATCAGATGTTTGTGGAACCAAAATATGTCCTTAGTAGGCGCCTTCTATTATGGAAGGGTGGAAAATGTGGTCGGCAGTTCCTTAGTATCCGCATTCCTAACCTCAAAGTCCCATGCTACGATACGTAATAGTCCAATAGCAAGGGCAGCGAACATAGGAAATAAGCTTCCCCAGGTAGTAGTGTCGTCGAAATAGAACCTTCATGTGAAAACAACGTCCGTAAAGAGCTGGAATTGTAGCTCGTTTAGCCGCCCGGGGATAAAGCTGCCAACTGCCGGCAGCGTTTCACTTTGATCTCTAGTTGTTTTTACAGCATCCTCCACAGCATCCCAATCCTTATCCTTGGGTGCCCCTGTTCCGAATAGGGGAGCATTGGTTGTGACCGATGCCGTATTATTTCCTCCACCACCTACGTTGGTCGACATTCTCGCTAATTTCCGGTGATGTAAAGGGTTGTTGTTGATCCCCCCGGGGTTGCTCTACCAATCGGGTGAAAATTCTCTAGGGTGCATCACAGCTCTCTCTGCGTGGTACAGATGATAGATTGTAAAGAAAAGGTGCCTCCTAATGAATGATAGTTTTGAGAAGAGCGAGTGTCATAACCTGTTGAGGGCTCTACTTTGTAGGGACCGAAGGAGAGGAGGAAGAGATGTCGATTCCTATGGGAAGGCGAGCTTCCGACTAACTATCTATCTAGCAAACTGAGGGGTTGATGCTTGAGGCATTCACCATGTAATCCCTAAAGTTATCTTTTTCATTATCTCCTCATCATCCTTCGTGGTGGGGTGCATGAGATCTTTGACGTTAGCTTAAAGAGGGGGGTTCTCTTTTTTTTTGTGAGTACGTACTTGGCCTGGATCTGACGAGTGCTTATGTCTAATTGCGTCATAATTAGATACTACGTCCACATGCAAACGTTCACTAATCTATTTTGGGGGGCGGCTAAGTGACGAAGCTATAGAGGGACCGCGGGAACTTCTTTTCTATATCTCATCTCACATTCCTTCTGCTTTAATATCTTTACCTCTATTGAAAATTCATGTTTTATATCTAGTTTCTCATATCACAGAGGTACATACTAATGAATCTTTCTTTCCTTATACCCTCATACTAACCTTGGAGGCTTTCCACACACCATAGGATCGTGGGGTTCTTCGGTAGGCCTACATTTACCTTCGACAGAAGTGATAGGGACTTTCTAAAATACGGGTCAAACTACGTCCTTCGGTCCAAACTCACCAAGTTATTTCTTGCCGAGCACGCTCTACGTGAACTAACGCAGCGTGAGGAATGGTTATACCACAAGGTTATAGCCTTACAAAAGGCTATGGCTATCAAATCTGATGGGAAGTCAGATGCGACCGAACTTGAAAACGCAAATAAACAGCTTGAAAGGACTCGAGCGCAGTATCCAAGAAAGGAGCACGCCCTTTACCAAGCAGAGTATAGGTTTCGCTTACCTTTTAAAGACGCCTATGATAGCTTAAGGCGTGATACTAAATGGTTTATGCGCGAAGAAATGGTTCAGGATTGCTCAGATCGAGGCGGATGTTGTAGCCGGGAATGTGGATGCTGTGAACAGAGGCATCTGTCTAAAAGAAAGAAAGGCAGAGGCCATTGCACTGCAGAGTGCGGGTGCTGTATTAGCTTTCGAGGTTTTGAGCTCCCAGAGAAAGAAAAACAAGAGATGAGCAAAGATTTCGAAACTATGGTGAAAGGATACAATTCGGCCTATACTATACATTTGGCAAATTGCTTTTTTCGCCCGTTGAAAGTGAAGTCCCGGTGGCAGCGAACTTTTAAAAGGGGGTTCCACTCATGAGAAAGATTGAAAATGCCCTGCTCTACTTTGCTTGAGAATCTTTTGCTAAAATAATGGATTGCTTTACTACTCAAATACGGTATCTAGCGTTTAAGCTACTATTTCTGACGGCCGTCAGAATTACTTATACTTTTCTCTGACCGCTGTTAGAAACTTAGATTTCTTGAAGCTCTATATAGGGGATTGGGTATACTATCGATTGAATTAGTAGAAGAGAGCTTTATATGTATAATTCTTTTAGTACTTTTTGACGATAGGTAGAAAAGTGCCTTTTGTCAGAAATTATAGTATACTACTTTACAATAGTCAGAAATTACAGCATAATGCTTCTTGACGACGGTCAGAAATTACATCATAGTGCTTTTTGACGAAGGTAGAAAAGTGCCTTTTGTCAGAAATTATAGTATGATGCTTTTTAACGACAGGTAGAAAAGTGCCTTTTGACGACGGTCAGAATTACAGTATGGTGCTTTATACGAAATATGTACATTTATATGATATCAAAGCGCCCCTAAGGTTAGAATCTCGAATCAGTTTTTCAATTGTACAACCACAACAATCACAACAAGAGCACCAAGCTTCATTGGAACGGTTCTAGTGGGAGTGTGAGTCTTAGTAGCCTTGTTACCTTGCTTCCTTCCAAGGTTGTTTGCAGGGATCTCACAGTATTCACGACGCGGAGATTTCCACATGACACGCCACGCGCTTCAAGGAATCTACCAGAGCGCATTACCTTCTTCGCGAGACATATGATTTATGTTGATCTAGCTACCAGGGGAACGGGTTATAGTGATCCCGCTCTTACAATATCCCAAGCCACGGCGAACGATTGGCATAATTATCTCGTCTAAAACCAAAACCTTATATCTTCCGACATGACCTGCCCTATATAAATCAAACCTTTTCCTTAAAGAACTGTATATCTATTAGTGCTATACGAATCCCCTCTAGATTCTCGTATCTTATATACTCATCTTCTCCGCCTAACACCTTATTGCAGACTGAAGCTCGGTAGAACTGGTGTAGGTTTAAGTTATAGAAACCATAATAGGTAAAATCCTTTTATCTAATAAATCAAAAACCATGGAGAACTCAATAGGCAACTTATACTGACACACTGATACTTTTCTTCATACTAAACAAGGAGAGTTATTGGGTATCCAGGGCATACGCTGTTTAGTGGGATCGCTCTTGCTCTAACAGAATATTGACCGGTTTCTTCGGCGGGTAAGCTTATATCGTCGTTAGCTATTGAACCGAATGGAGCTGGAAGGGATGCTTACTATGTGTTGTCACTTGGGGCAATTGCCTGCTGAGGATTCGGTAGGTTCGCCTAGGAAGGGGGTGGTGTGACCGGCATATTGGGCCAATTCAAAGGTAAAAGTTGGAAGTGTGAGCCGTGCTGATGAGGACTTGATTGTCAAGATGAAAGCGATATATCGGAATGGACCAGCTTTGTATTGGTGCAGGAATCCTTTTGGCTTATAACCATCTATCTGAGCCAATGCGAAACACGATTTCCTCCATAAGGGTGGAATATTGACGTAGGTATCGAGTCGGTTCGTTCGTTGCAAGGGTAATATCGCGGAATGACTCCGCGATATTATTGATGTCGGCCACGTGGTCGCGGCGAGCGCGATTAGCTTGACGGGACACCTCCATGGCATTAGTGCTGGCAGTCCCTAGGAGGTCGTAGGCCACGCTGTTCGGGACCAAAACGGTCTGGCCTGGTCCGGAGACAAGGAGGCTGCAGTTCCCTCCACGGGCGCGGTACAAGCAGCAGCCACAGCACTTCACAAATACTGGAACGTCAAAGACAACACAGAGCGGGAAGATCCCGCGGCCGGCGAGACAAAAGTCGCAACGCTCATTGACGACGCGACCAACCATCTGGATGAAGAGAGCCTCTACATTCTCGATACGACCGCCGATTTCCTCGTTCCACCTTTCGCTAGTCATCGCCATAGTCGAGCGGACGACGGGCTCCCGAAGTTTTTTTACCTGGAGGATGCATCGAATGAGCAGGGATTTGACTAAGTCTCCCTCTTTCGCGACTCCCTATGGGAGACGTTGGATATAGTTTGCCCACTCTCCAGCTTCGGGCACAGGTCTGCGGGGGACCCAACTGGGGGTGGGGGTTTCAGGGAAGCGGGGCCCGTGGAGCCCGTGGGACGAGGGGTGGGTGCGGGCCGTGGCTATGGTGCATGGTTGTCAGTGGGACTGTTCCAAATAATAGTCGCTGAGTGACCTCGGAAGTGAACTAGCCTTTCCTCTTGCATTTTGAATCGTAAACGTTATCGAGATGAGAGAAAAGGAGAGGAGGAAAGGAGAGGAGGAAAGGAGAGGAGGAAAGGAGAGAGAAACACGAGAGAAAATGGGGTTAAAGTTCTCACACGCGCTGAAATTTGCTCAATAACAACACCCCAATAAACTTGCTCAATTCCCCCCAACTCATCCTCAAGTCCTACACAACTCAGCCTCAAGTCCTACCAAATAGGCTTCAACTCTTATTAGAGATGTGTCAACTCATCCCATATATGCCTCCATTCCTCCCAACCTTCCACAGAAAGGTTAAATAAGGTCTTTGCTTAGGCTATAATGAACCTACAGCTGTGCTGCAAGCCGACAAAGGTAGCTAATCATACGCTGTTACTTTGATAGAGTAAACCAAAATCAACCCTCTCATTCTGCGAATTCTGAATGTCCAAACATTTATGCAACCTGCTATTTAGCGGCCTTAAGGCGCTGCTAGAAGGAGAGAGGAAGAGAAGGGAGAAAAAGCAACAGGAAAGTCTCTCACGCCAAAGGCATGTAGGCGAATACTGTATCAAACCACCGTTAACTCCGACTACGACGCTACAACAACCCGTATTTCTCCAATGCCTGCCTTGTTGACGGAACTTGAGCGCGAATGATTTTGAGGCTACGCACAACGACCAAGCATGGGCACGCTCGAGGACGAACATCTACCGACTGACTCTAAGAAGCGCAAGAAGGTGCCTCAGTATAGAAACAAGACCAAGCGATTGATTGAAACTTTCAGATTGTTAAACAGCGGTACTATTTGCTTGATATTAAACATTAGTATAGACACAAGTCCTACTGTCCACAACAATGTCAGCCCCCCTTTTATCAAGCTATTGTTTCATTTTAAACGGGCTGCCTATCATAGGATTAAAATCCACCCAACCCGACGGAGATCGAAATAGAGCCGCATTCTCACCTTGTATCGCAATGGACCATTTATATTATTTGATGATCCAAATCATCACATACGACCATAGGGTGTGGAAAACAGGGCTTCCCGTCCGCTCAGCCGTACTTAAGCCACACGCCGGTGAGTTAGTAGTTGGGTGGGTGACCACCAGCGAATCCTCACTGTTGTATGTTTTTTTGCTGTTGTATGTTTTTTTGCTGTTGTATGTTTTTTTGCTGTTGTATGTTTTTTTGCTGTTGTATGTTTTTTTGCTGTTGTATGTTTTTTTGCTGTTGTATGTTTTTTTGCTGTTGTATGTTTTTTTGCTGTTGTATGTTTTTTTGCTGTTGTATGTTTTTTTGCTGTTGTATGTTTTTTTGCTGTTGTACGTTTTTTTGCTGTTGTATGTTTTTTTGCTTTTGTTTGTTTTTGATTGTTGGTGATTCCAAGGTTGGTGAATAAATACTACGTTGTAGGAAATCCATCTGTTTGACCACAGCCGCTTTTCTCGAACGCCGAACCCAGCCATTATGGCGGATTCCATGTTGGCCTGGTACAACCTCCTAGATCTGGATTTGCCGAACTGATTATTTGGGTCAGGCTACCCAGTCTTATAGCGCTCAGGGTTCAAAACCCCTTTTTAGGGGGGTTCTTGATGCCTGAATGCCTTATTAGCACCGCTCTCCACACCGCTCTATACATCGTATTGTAATTATTCATACACAATATGAAGTTTTTCATCTCTATACAAATGGAGATATCTCGGCAAGTGTCAAAAATGAAGCTTTTCATCTCCATATAAATGGAGATATCTCCACTTTGTCGGACGGTTTGCAAGTCAAAAATGAAGCTTTTGATCTCATACAAATGGAGATATCTCGGTGTTTTCATAGACGATTTATAACTGTCAAAAGTGAAGCTTTTAATCTCATACAAATGCAAATGAAAAGCTTCATTTTTAACACTTGCAAATCGTCCAAAAATATGGAGATACTACCATTTGTATGCTGATGAAAAGCTTCCATACAGAGACGGGAGTTGGAATCTCCTCAGCATATGTTTTCTTTGTCCATCTCCTACGACCTTCGGAACAGTCAATTATTCCTTCGGACATCTCATTCGACCTCCCAATTAACCAATTCATTACTCCATGGTGACCACGCGTAAGTGTAAGAACATCGCTCCTGAGCCTGAATGAAGCCTTCGAGGCTGGCCTGTCCTCCGCCCCACATCGCACCTCTCCCCCCACATTCGTTCAATCACTCTCGGACACTAGCGCACCTGTCAGCGTGCAGTTAGAATCTCCTCGGGATATGTTTTCACGGTCAAGACCGACAACAAGGACAAACGGCCACTACCCTCTATGGAACTGTTGGAACTGAGGTGGCACCTGTCTCGCATTGCTTGTATGTATGACAAAGGCGAGGACGAAGATAGTGATTATGATTCTAATGGCGGCTCCGTTTCCGTCCGTTCAGGCTCTCGATCCCTTATCAAGAAAGAAGCTACGTTCCCCGAGAACATCCCTTTCCGTCCACCCGCCAAGTCACCGTCACCCCCAAAGCTACAGAATGTGTCTTTCGAGGGTGATCTCAGTTCCTCTATCGTGGAGTAATGGGATCGTTTCGCGCTCTTGAAGGGGTCACTGGAGCGCGCGTGAACTTTGTATCACATCTTCAGTCAACTCCGTTGAATCTGTTGAAAATAATTTGGACGTTTGATCGTCTGAAATAGATGCCACTTTGGATTGTGGAATACTGCTCCAGATCGTGAAATCGTAAGAGGAATAGACGCCATTTTTTATGTTGAGAATTTTCAACTGATGTAAAGGATTGTATGGTTAGACGGAGTTCCAGTTCCTTAATCGTGACGATTGGGCCTGTTGACCGACGAAAGTCAACGCTACCGCGAATGCTCAGCCGCAGGCTAGTAAGCCATGAGGCACACAACCCTGGCCCCCGGGTTTTGGGTCGGAGATTTGACCCCATTGGTGGTAGTGGAATATTAATAAGGCTGTGGGAAAAATAATGTCTAAGTGGACATCCTTTACGGAATATAGACAGCCCAGAGACCGCCTTTGTCGGACTTTGTTCCGTATTCATCACAGCGGCGGGCTTTGGAGCGGCCCGAAATGGACTTGATAAGAGTCCTAAACCCGATGTCCGGAATGCAGACAAATGTGGATTCGGCATTGTCGGTTTTTGGTGCAATGACTTGTATCCGCACATACGAGCTTTTCTTCCACCTATAAAGTCCGAAGCGATTGGAATTGGATATTTTGTGAGAATTTGAAAGGGAAGCTCTTGTACCGTCAATATGAACTCTTACATTTTAACACAAATTGTTGCAATCTCGTCATCCTTCTGGCTGTCAGGTATGTATTTATCGATCTTAAATAAAGAAATCTCAGGATACTAAGCGTGTCAACAACACAGGCGAAATATTTACCTACTCTTGGGGCGCAGTGCCTGCAGTCTTGGTGGCCACTCCAACCTCCCAGCATTTAGCTGCAAAACAATGGGTCGCATTTTACCACAGAGGGCATGCGTTGGGCCCGTCTTTCGCCATCCTGGGAGCAGGGAGCTTTATTTGGTTGGCTTTGAAGTCACATTGTTCGTTGTACTGGGGGGCTGCAATTCTCGATATTGGTATCATTCCATGGACTCTTCTTTTCATGTTACCAACCAACTCGAGCATATTCAAGTTTGCGGACATGAAAAACTTGTCGGAAAACGCGGTCCGTGATGAAGCACAATTGGCTTCCCTGCTGAACAGATGGGCGAGTCTCAACACCATTCGCTCGCTTTTACCATTTGCGGGTGGAATTATGGGATTGCTAGCAGCCTTGGGCTAAGCCTCATGCTGCATGTGCTGGATGGACCAACCGATTCAGTAATTATCTAAGAGGCAGAAAAATTATAACTAGCAGTTGCAAGTTGACCTATTAAGGATTGCCTAGGTAGGACGGGTACCTGTTTGGGTTCCGCCGGCCCCCGGGGGGGCTGTGTCTTAGTCAGCAAACCCATGCGCCCGGTCCCGGGGGCGGGGCCCCGGCGGGGTTCCAAGGTTGTCACACGTAGGATGAGTGGTGACACCTGTTTCAAGACGTATAAACGCCGAAGGTGCGCTGCTCCGTCGTATACAATTAGTCTCCGGCCTTGAATGGCCATGTGATTAGGTCGCGCCTCCCAAAGCCTTCTCTTATGGCTGCAACATGAACCCTCAACTGCCAGCCTATTCCGGGTCCACCCTAGACCAGCCGGCTGAGGGCGTTCTTGATGAAGACTTGTCTATAATTTTTCGCTGTCGGCTGTCCATACCATGGCAGGAACAGCAGGTAGTATACGTTGAATTCTCAGCATGCAACAATTTTCTCATCGTTCTTTGCCCATGGCGGGAACCTACGGCGCAATCCACCGAAAGAAAGAAGCATGACATCCTTGCGTATGATCTCGAGACCCGTGATTTCCTGCGTCTGGGAGCCCTAAGCTCAGCAATGTTGGGTGGGTATTATGTGGGAGCCAGGGGCGCAGCCATTGGCCCCGCCGCCACAGCGCAGAATGACAAGCTCGGCGGCCTCTTGCGGTCAAAGCCAAGCAGGGTCCTCCCTTTAGCCATTTGCCACAATCCAATCATCCAGGGAAGTAAGGCGCTCGATTCCACGCCCAGGATCGACATCGTGGATTTATACAAATTGAAGCGCAAGCGCTACTCGTCCACCATCCAGATCCAGGGACCGCTGGCATGGTCTCCTGACGGGTCACTTTTGGCTGGCCTACACTTTGGTGACCCAACCAAAGTGTCGCTCTTCCAGCCGCAAATGGACGGTATCCCTCGGATGGCATGTCTACCGGGCCACCTAGCGGACATTACGCAGCTAGCCTTCATGCCGGACGGCAAGAGCATCCTCAGCCGAGCGAGCGACGGCGTGGACCGCCTTGTCAGCACATCCCCCACGAGCCCGGGTAGGCTACTCAAGAGCTTCCGCGTGCCATCGTCAAGCCGGTATCCAGCCAGCATTCTGCAGATATCGTCGGATGGCAGCCGCGTAGCATCCGTGTGGGGCCGGCTCGTCGTGCTCTGGCACTCGGAATCGGGACTGCTCGAGAGCTACGAGCTCGAATCCGCGCGCCCCGACGCTGATCTGTTCCCTCTAGCCATTTCACCCGACTGTCACCTTCTTGCGTGCCGCTCCGACACGGGCGTTGAGGTGTGCGACCTGCTGACAGGCCGGCGCCGGGGCGGTGCGACATGGAAGGGCGGCGGGACCGGGTTCGCGACTGCGGCGGGTTTCAGCGGCGGCACCGGTATGATGCTGGCTGTGGGAATGTTCAACGGCGGAGTCACGGTGTATAACGTGCTTGACGAGGGGGAGGAGCCTCCCGTTGAACTGGAGACCCACGAGCAGCCAGTGGAAGTTCAAGCAGTGCCGATACGACCGTTTGAGGTGTCAAGGTAGACGAGGCCGATGCAAATTGCCGTGATATCGAGGTTATGGGAGGGTTATAGCAGCCCACAAAGCCTAGATTGTGTTGTTAGTTGTGCAGACATCACTTTTAGATCCTGCACGTATTTGAGGTACTGTTGGACCTTTTCTGCCTTCGTAGAAATATCCCTTAAAAGACTACATAGTTATAGTTGTACGTAAATGGATAAAATCTCGATGGCAGTAACTGATTATTTGATGGAATAACTACGAACCATTGAGCTGCATACCTTAAAATGGATCTGCAGAATGTCTTGGCATGTGCTTACATAAACACGACCCCTCGCCTGGGCGACAGGTCCCAACAATTCGGAATATCTGCCTGCTGCTGCGTTAGACGACCAGAACCTCGAATCGCTATTCACTTTTGCCAAGCCTTTGCACAACCTGACAAGATGGCCTCCAAACCCAATGTCAATCGCTATCTCAAGCAGTCGCTCGACCATATCTTCCAAAACAACAAGAAATGGGTCTCATCGAAGAAAGAGACCGATGCCACCTTTTTTGACAAGCTATCTGCTGGGCAATCACCCGACTATCTGTAAGCGACATAAGCTATGGCTTATTCTCGTCAAAAAAATGTTCATATCGCAACTCCTCTAACGGCAATCAGGTACATAGGCTGTAGCGATAGCCGAGTCCCCGCCAACGAAATTATGGGTCTGGAGGCGGGCGAGGTCTTCGTTCACCGTAATATCGCGAACTTAGTGCCCAATGTCGACCTCAACGTCATGTCGGTGATCAACTATGCTGTGCGGCACTTGAAAGTCAAGCATATCATCGTATGCGGCCACTACAACTGTGGAGGAGTCAAGGCGGCCTTGACACCTGCTGACCTGGGTTTGCTTAACCCATGGCTCCGAAACATCCGCGACGTGTATCGCTTGCACGAAAAGGAGCTCGATGGAATCCCCGAAGAACACGCGAGATACAACCGATTGATTGAACTCAATGTGATGGAATCGTGCAGGAATATCATCAAAACCGCGGCTGTCCAGCAAAGCTACCAAGAGAATCAGTTCCCCATCGTTCATGGTTGGGTTTTTGATCTAGGCGACGGCCTGTTGAAAGACCTCAAGGTCGATTTCGAAGCTGAGTTGGCGGATGTGCAGAAAATATACTGTCTGTCGTCGGGTGCCGACTCGGAACATTGAATGATCACAATCACAGTTGTCAACTGCCAGTCACGACTCAGGTGTTCGGTTGTTGCTCAGCCTGTAGCTTTCAGGCTTCTCTTTTGACCTGTTTTCCTTCGTCTCCATAGAGCTATACCGATGGCTTCCTGGCAGTGAGTGATCTCTGGCATATTCAGTTTTTCCTTTTTATCCATCAGTTGTGCTTCTTAATTCTTCCTCTTTGGACACTGTGTATACCACGTGCACCACGTAGTAATCAAACCATGCGGAATTCAACAATTTCCATCCTATCGTAAAGGAGGGAAATGGGAAGGAAAACCATGGAATGAATTGAACTGTCCACTGAGAGGGGAGAGAGAGGAAGGCTGCCTCAGCACCTGTCCTAAACGTTCTGCTCCCCTTCCAATAATTGATAGGCCTTCTCGGTCTCCGAATCGTACACTATCCCATGGATATGTAAGCGCCCTAGCGTAATTGCGTCGGTGACTTCGGGAAATTTGCGCAGCGAACGCATCTGATCAAGAATATTCAACTCAACAAAAGAGAAATCCTGCTCCCACACTGGGAGTTGATTTATATCTTCTTCGTGCATCGAGTAGAGATCGTTGAGCTTGCTATATAACCGTTATTAGCAGCTTCAGGGAATGCATCAGCAGAAGGACTTACCTCAACCATGGTCCTTTCAACCCATCTCTCGAGGCTGCTGTCACAATGTGACATCCGTAATGGCCGCAGACGACGATGTGTTTTACCTAGAGAGCGTAAGACAACGAACTAGCAATGGATTTTGGATCAAGGCTAACCTGAAGGTCAACGACGGCATGCTTTATAGTAGTCTCGCAGGACAGGTCGCCATCAATGATCATATTGCCGAGATTTCTGAGCACGAACAACTCGTCGTTGAGAATATTAAGCACAGTGGATTCTTTGGCATTGCTATCAGAGCATCCAATCCACAGAACCTGCGGAGTTGCCTGTTGAAGGCTAGGTATGTAGTTTTCCTTGAGAGGTTCGGCAGCCACCCTCCTAGGTCGTATTTCAGTCATGCTGCCTAAAATGGCAAGCAGTGGTGATATGGAATGCTCCAGGCCTCTTAACGAGAGAGGTTGTGGGGAAACAAAAGAAATGGCAACTTGCAACGGGATTTTGGCAAAGCATGATAGACTGGGTTTTAAAAGGAGCAGGACGAGCTAGGGCCCTTGCCGATCGTTATCTAAGTTCATATGATGTCCGGACAGATGTGCCTGATGGTAATTGAACTGCCGGGGCCGGTTGTCGGTTCCGAGAGATCTCCGGTTCGGCCGAAAGCCCACGTTGTTTGAGGCTAACCTTGGAATGTAACACGAGCCGGTCCCGGAAAATATATCCATGGATCCTGCCCAGGTGGACCCCATTCTAAGATTGACTTAAGTGTTGCCAAGAATGGAAGATATATAAATGTCGGAAGGGGCTAATATTGGGCCCTACTAGCGATACCCTAAATGCAACCTTAAAAGCAACCTTAGAAGCTATGAGACCCGCACATGAGGTCTAAGGGGTACTTAGGATAAATGTGGAATCGGGAAATAGAGCGTCATGAGGTACGCGAAAGATGTATGCAAATACGGACATAAATGGTGTGCTGGAGGGTAAGAGCACGTGATGAGTTACACACGCAAGGCTTTCAATCTACGTACGTTTTGCGATAATCTTCGGAGATACTATGTGTGTAACCATTTTTCCCTTCCCGACTGAGTGAGGGCTGAATGGCCACCAGCAGTTGGGACTTATGGACCGATGTGTAAATTGATGTTGCTGACCAGGACGATTTATCTCTTTTCAACGTAACTATTATAGTAAATCAGTGTCGAAGATCAGGTGATCCTCTATTCTTCGTAACTTCACAGCCTCTCTTCTCTCTATCTCCTCCCTTCCTCCCTCCAGTCTGTAGTTGAGCCAATGCAGTTGTTTGCCTTTTGTTGTGGTGGTGGCCTAGGCCGAAGTTGATGCCTCAGACATCAACTCCTTGGTTTGGTAGATAGTCGGAAGCTCGCCTTCCTGTAGGAATCAACTCTTTCTCCTCCTCTCTTTCAGTCCCTACATAGTAGAGCCCACAACACCTTTCTCTTCCAGTTGTTTCATGAGCTTATGAGCCATCGCGCATGATTCTTCTGAGCATATCACCTTCGATTCCACGATCCCGGTGGAGCAGGGCCCACGCCTCGCCCACAAACAAAGGAGCTCCGGGGAAGACCCCACAAAAGTCACCGAACCGAGTGCCACCGAACACATCAGACCTTCCTATGGAGGGCACGTCAAACATTTGCGCCGCCGAGAATACATTCAACCCTTGTTTACTTTTCCCCATCCAGTCCCTTCATCCAATTGCTTTCACTCTCGTTACAAATGACGAGAGGCCGGCAATTTCTCGGCTACTGTGGTCTGGGGAAGTTCGATCTCAAGACTTGTATCATCCTAGACAAAAAGCGAGATAAAATGACTGACTTTTTACAAAACATGTGTCAAATTGTGCCAACTGTTGATCACGAGCTCTTCGTTGTCCCCTTTCCACGCCCTTCGAAGCTCCAATCGATTTGTGTGGCCATCCTCACCTTCACTCCTAGCTCATTAGCAAAAGCACGAACTAAGCCAGGGTTCTGCTGGAACCAGCGTCCAGCCTGCACTGCATCAATGCCAGATTGAACCACCTCCTCGGCCAGAGGACCCGTTTTAATCCCGCCGACAGCCGTGATCAATAGCTTGTCGCCCACGGCTTTCTTGACTTCTTGGGCCAAATGCACCTGGTAGGCAGGCCCCGCTTTGATAGCAATCGCGGACTTGGGATGGATGCCACCTGAGCTAACATCCACCAAGTCAACACCACGTTCAGCTAGGAGTGGAGCGAGCTGAACCGATTGAGCAACTGTCCAGCTCTCGGGGAAGTCTCTCTTCAATTCCTCGTTCTCGCTGAACTCGAACCAATCAGTCCCACTGATTCGGATCAATAGAGGCATTGTTTCCGGGATGTTAGCGCGAATTGCCTCGGAGACTTCCAGAAGTAGTCTGATCCTGTTCTCGAAACTACCTCCATACCGATCCGTTCTTTTGTTGCTAACAGGGCTCAGAAACTGGTGCAATAGATACCCGTGAGCGGCGTGAATCTCAATGGCATCAAAGTTGGCCTTAACGGCCCTTTTCGCAGCCTCCGCGAAGTCTTTGATCAAGACCTCGATATCCTCCAAGGTAAGGGCCCTAGGAATGGTGTTGACTCCTTCCTCAAAGGGGATTGCCGACGGGGCAACGAGCTCATCCCAGCCGCCGACTTCCTTAGCAGCCATAGCGTTGAGGCTCAACCAGGGAGCAACAGCACTAGCCTTCCGACCGGCGTGAGCCAATTGAATAGCGATCTTCTGACTTTGGCTGTGGGCAAACTCAGTGATCCGCTTCAACGGCTCAATCTGAGCATCTTCGTAGAGACCAAGATCTTGAGGCGTGATACGGCCTAGTCTCTGCACGGCTGTGGATTCCATAATTGCCAGCCCGGGACCGCGCTGGAGAATTCCGCCCAGGTGGGTCAAATGCCAATCCGTGACCTTGCCATCGTTGTGATTGGCAGAGTACTGGCAAAGGGGAGCTAGGAACAGACGGTTTGGAAGCGTCACACCGCGGATGGTAAGAGGGGTGAACAGCTTGATTGATCCCTCTAATTGCGTGCCTGCTGGAGGCTCTTGCGCTGGCGTGAAATAGGAGATGCCTTTGGCAGCAACGTTGTCGATGATTGTTTGTGTCATGATGGCAGTGTTTGACTGGAGAGTTGAATTGGCACTGAAAATCGAAACCCGGATCAAGTCTTTGAGTTATATATCCTTAAAACCTATACAAGTAAATCAATTATAAAGGCAGGTGAAATTTTATATCGACAAGAGCCGAATAACCGTATACAACTGATTACAAATTCAGCATTTCATCTATGGATGGTGTGATATTATTAATCCATAGATATTAGGGGGCCATTACGAATCTCAACCCTGCAACGACATTCATGGATGCATCAACGCATCAGATTATTGGGTGTGAAGAAAAAGGAGAAACCCGACTCTCCACCGACCCCAACGCCAAGGGAACATCCCTCTCTCTGAATTCCTTTAATCCGTATCATTTGTTTGTCTCTCATATGGCCCCCGCGAAACACGCGCTTAACTCGTTTCATTTGATTGCGTCACTTACTCCAACACCTATGCCCCTTGAGTGAGGGTAAATTATTAATGTTATCCTCCTGAACAAATCGAAAATCAACAACTATTTTTCAATTGCAACCAAGATGTCGTGGAAAACCATAAGCAAAGAAGCTCAATCCGCAGTGCTGGAGGCCATTCCGACCCGTTGGCGGTTGGATATCGATAAATACAGGTCGCTGAAGGATGTGACAAGCGTGCCTTATACAAGCGGCATCCTGACAAAAGACCAACTCAAAATCACCGAACTCACGGCTGGCGAGATTGTGAAGCGTCTTGAGTCTCGCGAATTGAAAGCAGTGCAGGTCTTAGAGGCTTTTGCCGGGCGGGCTGCCATTGCCCACCAGCTGGTATATTAACATTCTCACAAATGATTTTATCAGGCTAACTTTAGCAATAGGTCAATTGCTTGACCGATTGGTTCTTTGAAGATGGTCTCCAGCAGGCGAGAGAGCTTGACGAGGATCTTGACAAGGGTGGGAAATTGAAAGGGCCATTGCATGGAGTTCCGATCGCTTTAAAGGTACGATGATATAGCATATACCTTTGATTTGGATGTACAAGGACTGATATAATAACCAAATAGGATTCCCATGAACTTGGAGGCCATGCCGCAACATTGGGCTACGTTTCAAGGAAGAACAACATCGTCAAGCAAGATTCTGCTCTTGTGACAACATTGCGTGCTGCAGGTGCTGTCTTCTTCTGTAAGACAACCATGCCTCAGTCAGGCATGGCTTTGGAGACAGTAAGCAATCTTTGGGGCCGCACTACAAACCCGTTCAATAGAGACTTGGGCGCTGGCGGGAGTTCGGGAGGGGATGGAACGTTAGTAGCCTTGAGAGGCAGTCCCATCGCGCCTTCAACAGATATGGGGGGATCTATCCGCGTACCGGCCGCTTTTAACGGGCTATATGGCATTCGACCTACGGCGGATCGCATACCCAAGGGAGGCATGTACACCACTAATACCGGGAATCTCACGATTAAACTGTCTTGTGGTCCTGTGTGCCACTCTCTCAACGACCTTGAGTTATTCACTAGGGTCATAAACGCCCACCCGAACAACAAATACGATGTGACTTCCGTGCCTGTGCCCTGGAGAAACCTGGATCATTTGGACCGAAAACTCACGGTCGGACTACTGAAGTGGGATGGGGTGGTAATGCCTCACCCACCGGTATTACGAGCTCTAGAACACAGCAAACAGACTCTTGAGAAGGCCGGACACGAGGGCAAGTTGGCTGTTTGCTTCTCTCCGGTTAACAATCTTCATAGAATGCTCGCTAATTTTATTTACAGTCATTGATTTCAAGCTACCTTTTGATGCCTGGGATGCTATGCAAACCACGGTAAGCATGTCACCAAAATTGGCAGAAACTGCATAATTAATGGAAGTTTTAGTTCGATATCTATTATCAATCGGGGTCTGAGGGAACTAGGTCAACTCTGTCCGCTTCTGGGGAGCCTATGATACCAGCTTTTGCGGATCTGCTAAGGGTTTATAACACCCGAGAGCACTCCGCTGCGGAAGCATTACAAGTATGTCCTGTTTCCTGTTGATGTTGACAAAATGCGGGAAAAGAGAAATATACTAATATATTGGACAGTTGAATCTCAAAACTAGAGCCCTCAAAGAACAATTTGCAGATGCATGGAACGACACAGTTGGTAGCTCCGGCCGTGTCATTGATGCACTAATAGTGCCCCCAGCCCCTGCAGTGGGCTATCCTCATGATTTCAACATCTACTGGGGGTATACCTCGCTGTTTAATCTTCTTGACTATCCTTCTGTCATCTTGCCAATTGCCAAATTCAAGGTGGATCCTGAGCTAGACCGCGTGGATGCCAACTACCAACCGGTCGAAACGAACCCCTACGACAAGCCCAACTATGAATTGTGTAAGTCTGCTTAGTCGGTTCAATCCCCTCTACCCTCACGGTTTCTGATGTTTTGTCAATAACAGATGATCCGGCTTTGTTCACAAACCAACCGTCAACTATCCAGATCGTTGGGCGACCATTCGAGGACGAAGAAACTATCCAAGTATCCTCGATACTAGATACATTATTCAAGGCTCCTTAAGTTAGATGAATTTGGTAATGACGGATATCAATATTCCCTCATTATAGAATCGTCTTTCCATCTATCTAAACCCGTTTGTAAATCAAGCGTCAACTTTCCAGCTACATACATCCCATCTAGAAAGTCTGGCGACACTGGAACATCACTTTATTATCATCTTCCTATGCACTCCTTTTATCTATCTTTCTCGTTACTTTTCCATCTCAAATATAAAATAACTAGGTATTCCCTACTATCATTGCAAAAAAATACCTTTAGCGTAGGCTATGTCCCGACTTTTAGACACGATGCTAGGCCAGGCCTCACTTATGCAAGAATATACTTCACTTCGGAGCTGGATGTGTGATACATATTCAAATCCAGAAACTTATCTCGACGCCGATTGGACATGAATAGCCCTAGAGGACTTCCGCCGATTCATGATCAATTGCTCCGTCGGAGAGATAATCAAAATTATTACTCCGCTGTAGAATATTCCCAGTGGACTCAGAAAAAAAAAGTCGAAAAAGCCTATTATCTACTTGGCGCTCCAGTCTACAAGGGTCTGAGTATCAAAACCAGAAAATTGGGATATTACTTATTCATTGCTTCTAGTACAATAATATTTGATTCGACCTTATTTTCCTTTTCTGAGACCTTTGCATTAGTACTAAATACGCAAATCCACAAGGGCCTTTGCTTATTTTTATTGCGAACAAGCTCATCTCCCCCTACCCCAGTATGGTGACATCAATATGTGGAACAATTGGATCATGTCGATGCACCTGAAACAATTGCTATCTTAACATCTGTACATTCGCTCCGTATAATAATCTTCGTGGTTACCAGATAACGATGACGTCAGACAAGGCTTGATTAGACTTTTGTCGATTGTTATTATTGATGGATTTCTAGTCTACCAACAACATTGATGCCGCACCTCTTCCATTTTCCAAATAAGCGATGATCACCACAAGGTGATGATCTTTAGGGACCTTGGCCATTGTTGGATAGCGATCAACGACCTCGGGCCGAGAAAGACAAGTCTCCCACTTCCACTGCTCGCCTTTCAGAGAAATATCCGACACTTTGCTACCATTAACAAAGACCTGAACAGAATCAACACCAATTTCAGGGTCGGATGATCGTGCAGTTCCTGCCACAGAGATTTGACGACGAATCTCTTTCCCAGAAGTCTCAGACGAGACCCATTTCGCAGAAGAAATGTCGAGCAAGGGCTTGGCAACAAGTGAACCTCTTGTACCCGAACAGACCAGCGATATATGATCCGATGGAATCGACGGCGTTAATCCGGGAATGGTTCGAGCCTGAGAAGCTGCCTCGTACGCGAACGCGTATCGCAGCATGTCGTTATCCGCATAGGCTTTGCATGCAAAAGTCAAGCCTACAGGCATTTGCTGTTTCTCCAACGTGCCCATTGGAAGAGTGATGCAAGGAACACCGCAGTGCTTCAAGAATCGGCCACCATTGGCGTATTTGACTCCATCCTGGAGAGCGTGAAGCATCGACTCAAGACTCTCGTCGGCGTCGGCGAAAGCAATGTCGCCATTCGTGGGGAATGCGAGGAGATCGAATCCATTAGAATCCATCCATTCCTCGAACTCCTTCTTGCGCATATCTTCTAGTGCATTTGCTGCCTTTTCAACGCCAGGAAGGTTGTAGAGAGTGTGTTGCCTGTCCTTGATAGAGTTGAACATCTCAGGGTAGCGAACTTGATTCTGAGCCTCGGTGTGTTTTGATGGATCATCCATCGGCGCAATCCGAGGGTGAATATTGTGTGGGTCAGAGGAAAGCAGATTCGGACAGTTTGGATCGCCGTTCACTTGCAGGAAATCGTCCCATGCAGTGGCAATCATCTGGCAGCGCTCAATGCTGGTCCACTCATTGGATATGCCGGGTACATTGCAACTTTGACCTGGAAAGTTCTGCTTTGTATACCCCTCAAGCAACGGAAAATCAGTTTCAATGACGGTTGCTCCCAGAGATTCCAGGGTAGCTCTGGCCTTCTCCCACAGCTTCTGTACTGGTTCGATACACACATGGAATGGCTTTGCGGACGGTGCACCGATGAAGCATCTGGGGACAGCAACACGTTTCCCCATGAGGGCATCTGAGTCCGCAAGATTGCGATAGCTTTTCGGACGAACCTCCGAGGACATGGGAATCGGAACGAATGTCTGGTTTCGCCAAAAGTCGATTCCTCTAGCAGCTTCCGTGTCATCGGCCACAATGACATTAAGCACGGCAAACAAATCTTCCATCGTCCGCGTATGAGGAACAATGACATCGCACGTCGGATATAGCGGCCATTGACCTCTGTTCGGTATAACACCCCTGGAAGGAGAGTATCCAATCAGAGCATTATTCGAGGCTGGCGAGCGACCAGAAGAAACCGTTTCCCCGGCAAAGCCAAATGCCGCAAAGCTGGCTGCAGTGGAGGTCCCGCAGCCATTAGAGGAACCAGAGGCATACGCAGTAGTGGAGTATTGCGGGTTATAAGGGCTTTCCGCCCTTCCATACAGTCCACGCTGTGATCCGCCATCTGCCATCGCTGGCATATTTGTTTTGCCAAGGATCACAGCTCCCGCTTTTCGCAGAAGTGCGACGATGGCTGCATCTTCTGAAGATAGTAGATCGGCGAAGGCGGGCGATCCAGCTGCAACTGTCATATCTTTGACCATGAAACTGTCTTTGACTGTGAAGGGGATTCCTTCGAGGGGCCGTGGCGGCCGGCCACTTGCCCGGTAATCATCTGATTGTTGTGCCTCTTCAAATGCATTGAGATTGAGCACACATACAGAGTTCAAGGAAGGTCCGCGGCAATCGTAGTATCCAATTCGATTCAGATAGCAGGATACGAGCTGGACACTTGTGATGGCTCGAATGTCGAGGGCATGAAGAAGCTCTTTGACACTGGCATCGACGATATTTAATGTCTGTGGTTGTTTTGAGACTTTGAGGCCCGGCATTGCGTTGTAATTGATTGTGTTGGTGTTTGAAATGGGGTGTCGACTACAAAGACGCAGACTTTCGCATCATTTGCGGGTTTTTCTTTTTGGGAATGAGGAGGCCAACAGGAAGTCTAGATGAATTCTGTCAGGCTAGATACCAGTGGCACACCAGATCTTTATATCTCCACCATAGATAACTCCAATTTTGATGATTGAAGCCCTTGAATACTAATCTCGAACTCCGAACATACTCATAGTTGCGAAGTATGAAGCGTTGCTTCTGATTGGCGGCCGGTCGGCCCCGGCTCGACCTTCCCTCCCAGTTTTGCCCATAGTCCTGCCTCCAAAGCACTAAGTTGTCGGACTTTTGCACTATTGGGCTTCCAATATGAGGGAAAAGTAGAAATGATGTACAAAAATGGGAATATATTGAAACTCTATATCAAGATAGCACGAACCCCCATTTCACACATCGTGATCCGGCAGTCCGCACGACCGGTTTCCTGCATTTCCCAACACTTTCTCATAATTTTCTGTACGGTTGCTATGTTTCCAAATCTTCCTGATTCTCGTGTGAGGTCCGTCATTAAAGTTTCGAAAAATGGCCGGTGCGACTGTGCCATGCATGCTATTATACACAACGCCCACACAGAACCTGTGAGAGAATAAGTCTTGGGTCTATTCTCGAGTGCGAGGACGCTTCTGGCAACGGCACTTTGTATCTCGGGGAGCGCTGGTAGTGGCCCAGAAACTATGGTATGCAGCAAGATGAGAGCTGCGAGGGCGAAAATATGTGAAACCCAATTCGGCAGAGGTCTCATCGTGTTTTCCTATCGAAAAATGGTTAGTATGAGATATCAAATACCCTTGGGTAGATTGTTGAGCATGGAATCCTTACATCTCTTTCCCGCTCCAAGTTCTCGATCCCGCTCTCTAATCGTGTTTCTATCTCTTGGCCTTTGCTTGCGAGCTCTCGAATACTCAGCCGACCGTCCTTCTCTTGTTGGTATTTCCATGCCGAAAGGTGTGCTAGATCCCCGATTATCATCATAACCCAGTTCTGACAGCCCATGAGATCCGCCGTATTGAACCCCGGAGTTTGGAGCCACCGTTGATAGGGAGGCCGTGGTATACTGCCCGTTGAAATACAGGCAAAGAGATCATACCACATGACGCCGACCATGAGAAACTCGAGGCCTTCGTTAGATTGACATTTTATATCAGTGTTACTTTGAGTCTGCGAGTTGAATATATCCTCGGGCGATAATTGCCGCATAACGGAGGCAATTGCATCTAGATGTAGAAGCCAGCCATGCTCTGCACCAGAGAAAACCTACATCAAGGAGTCAGAATTCACTTTGACAGATAATACTTTGTGTACTACGTACCTCAAAGCTGATCAACATGAAACTACATGTCAAAAACTCGGCCAATTGCGGGTGGTCGTCGCGTAATTTGTCACCCTTTTCACTCATAATATCACAGAGCTCTCGCAATGCAGTAGAATGATGATTTAATGCTTCTTGTTTCCGCTGAATATCTTCCTCGGTGCCGAGAATAGCACTCTGATGAAGAGAGGACAGGCTTAAGGCGGCGTGGTAAAGAGGTCCACGCTTAATCAAAAGCAAGAAGAGCCACCCTCGATTTCCTAAACGAGACCGAGAGTCATGATATGGAAATTGCCAAGGAAAAACTTGATCAAGATAGTGCATTAACAAACAAGCCTCTTGGTGGTCAATTACCCCAAACCCGTCGAAACGCCGCGGGCTTGGCTCGGGATAGGTTTCGATAACATGAGTTGGGCCACATGTCAGAGCCTGGCCCCTAGAATCGGATATAACTTCGGAAACTTCATTTTCAGAAGGTAAAGATGCCAAATACGAAGAACGAGGTGGACTTGCCACTGGATCGGGCATTTCATCATCATGTCCTTGAGTTTCAGACAATGTTTGGGATTTCTCTCTATGCGTTCGACGAGCTAGATGCTGCATTTTCTTCACATGTCGGAAATTCTTGTTGATTGTAGCTTTGATTCGTGATCGTTCTTTTTGCTCTTCCAATCCGCCGTCCATCCATGCTGGCTTGGGCCCGTATCCGTGGCAGCGAACATGTCGCTCAGTGCATTCCCTACAGGAAGGCTTCTCCAGATCACACTTTCGATGTCGAACACGACATGTCCAGCATCCCGTAGCGACCGACCGCATGGCTGTAAATTGTGGACTTGCAAGCAAAGAAGTGGAGGCGCGGTATGTAAACTGGGGAAGAATACAGTTCTAAATAGGAAGTTCGGGCTACTCGTGATTACGTAACTTTCCAACTAGTTGGCCGCTACTGTATCAGATACTGTGCACGGGTTATCTCGAGTTACGTTATCTCAAAAATAGGCTAGAGAATTGGTAAAAAGGGGGACCGACTACCAGCACACTATGCTATTTTTTACTAGTAACACACATCGGCTAAGCTACTTTGGGTATGTCTACCGCTGGCCGTAGGTCTCAACCAGCTTCATAGTAATGTCCCAAGTCATATGATAGCTGTTAAAAATACTATAGGGATACCATACTAAGTTACACAAGCTGGTTGAGAACTGCGGCCAGCGGTGGACATACCCAAAGTAGCTTAGTCGATGTGTGTTAGTAGTAAAAAAAGGTGTGTCGGTAGTCGTTCTCTAAAAAAGATCGTTTATGACCACCCGCCTAGAAGAATCCTCGGAGAAACACCGAAATGATTGTTTCAACTCTATGGAAAGCCTCCACGGCTTCTGTAATTGTACCCTTTTATCTTGGGGTGATTTTTTAAATATTCCTCCTTGGAAGCGTGTCAGATATACATGTATAAAGCAATGTTGGATAAGACTGGGCGAAGACTATGATAAGTCACAGTAATCGCATTAAGATCCAAAATAGGGTGATAATATATAATCTGCCTAGCAGAATTTTCGGGTGGTAACATGATAAAGCTTGGAGAATTGTCTGCTGTTATATCGTTGAATCGATATGCTGACAACGCCATCACTACCCAGCACTACAGGAAAACGGTCTACTTATGGAACCAGTTTGGAATGCAGACATCTGCCAAGTTAGTATGGTCACGAGAATTTGTATCAAAAAAAGAGTAACTCACAACTCCAGTAATGCTTGCATAAAGACCGCATCCGAGGATACAGATACCAACGAGGAATACCAGTAGGTTCAAAATTGCGTGTCGGATATTGTGCTTCTCGTGCCAGCTTCCCTCCTTCAAAAGGAAGAACCACATGATGGGAGGAACATAGAAGGAGAAGCCAGAAACGAGCAGGCAGCCACAAATAGCAAGTAATTCAGAGAAGAATGGAATAGCCTCTGCGATGATCCATGCTAAGATTGTAATTATGGCAACAACCGTCAACCAAGTCACCCATCCTTTCGTAGTGTTCACATAACGGACAACAGAATTTTGATACATGCGGCCGTGGATATAGCGACAGGCAACGGTTGTGTTGATAGACCCCGAGATAAAGATCACCGGTAGGGCGATACCAAATGCAACCTTGGCGTAAAGGGGACCGGCAGATAGCAATGCTGGAGAGCTAACGTCCTGTCCGACGAACGCATAAATAATTGCCCCAGTCAATGTATAGATAGTGACCTGCACTATGCCCAATGTAGATATAGACTTAGTGAAGTCTTCTGGTGTATGCATCTCATCCATGAACGACGGTTGAGAGGCTGCGAATGCGTAGGCGAAGGCAATATTCGAGATGGCAACAAAAGCTTTGCTCAAGTTCAAGTCGGCTTGAGGCCATGCCGACCACGCGGGGGCAGTTGGATCACCCTGCTGAACACCGGTTGCGATTATACAGACTCCAATGGCCACGATGATAGATCCGAAGTCGATGAACCCTAGAATCGAAAGCTCGGCAAAGGATGGCGGTATAGCAAATGCAAAGAGGATCACTGCGGATACAGCACTGAAAATGAGAGCGCACGCAGTGTTGTCTGAGAGTGTGGCAAAGGCAAGCTTTCCTGTCAGGCAATGTGACCCGACTGTCAGGGTCATTAACGCGATAAAGGCCACACTGAAGAGCTTGTCACCAAACTCTCCCAGTAACAGACGTCCAAAATCAACATAGTGAGCAACATGTGGATATTTGAGCTTTGTCAAGCCGACCATGTAACTTGCGTAAATGGCGATGAGACCCAGCCCGATGCACAAGATCACTCCGGCCACCATTCCTAGCGCTGCGAACGCTGCTGGAAGACTAAGACTACCCAAGGCGATTGATTGAACAATGAGTACAATTGTGAGACGCTTCCAGCCAAGTCGATGAAAGTGCTCGTTGCCCTGGATAGCTCTTTCATGATCATGATATCGGTCTTTTTGACTAACAACTTCACCGCCGGATTGGTCATAGTCAATTATATCGTCTGTGCCCTTTTGTTTGGTAATGCTGGCATGGTTGGCACTAAGGGACATAGTGGTAGTTGAAGATGAAAAAATCGCACAGGATATATATTTGAGAGTAGAGAACTTGATAACAGAGGCACACAAAAACAATTGATTGGGATGTGGAAGCGAATCCCACTGTCTTAACTGAAGACGAACCATCCTCCATATTGCTCTGTTCTCCGATACCATGCGTCCTAGTATAGTGATGAGCGCTGTGGAGCTCTCTGTGGAGCTCCGGGTAGTCTCGGGGGAAAGTCGAGCCGGGCCAAGACCTGGGGAAGATAAACCGTAGAAGTTATGACAGTAAGTGCACAAATTGTTGAATCCTTTAGTAACAGCTTGAATGTGTTATTTATCCCCTTATATTGGACAAGTCTGTGGTACATCGTCATATGCGGAATGCACATCGAGGTAATTTGCAATAATAAATTGAAGTTACAGTCCCCTTACCCATGTCGTTCACGAGTGATACGGCGGAGGCGGCTCATCGTTCGATAGCGACGGTGGTGAAGAGAAAGTAGTAGAAGCATGCTGAGAATCTCCTCTTGGTAGGGTTATAATTCTTCCTGTCTAATTCGGATCTTTTCTTTCAAACCCAAACCCCAATTTCTGAAGGTAAAGTGACCGGATCATCAACCATAAGAGGACAGTTCCCTTACAATACGCTTCCCACGTCGCCGATGAGCCCTAGGAACTGGTTTAGAGAGTGAGTGATCTGTTGCCTTTTTCATTCCGCTTCGACCAGCGGGGTGCTGAAAACGTCTTCCTCTAATACAGTCAGCTTGTTGCGGATAATTATAAATGAGAAACCTACATATCCTTCCACGCTTATGGACGACGGGCTTGATTCCAATTCAATCATGGGGCTATGACGACTTCTGCCCCCACTTCAGCACGTTCGGTGCGGAATATTTGGTTGTGTGGGAGTGTTAAGGAGTTGTTAATTAACAAAGCCGACTGCGTCCAAGCCATTTTAATCTGTGTGAAAGGTGCAGACTGGCATTTTCCAAACTACTTTCTTTTATACCTCAAAAGAAGAGTAGATACTTCAGAAATATGTACCTGAGAAGAATAAGCTACATCCTCATAACATATAATATTTCCTCTTCCGAAGCTATTCAATTGACATGACTTCGTGGAAATCAAAATGGATTTAATTTTCACACAACTTTGTTGGCGATCGTCTGAATCAGCACCTTCACTTTCTCCTGGCTCCATTCTTCCAGTCCCGCCAGGGCATTATCATCTCTTTCCCAGGGGTGTGCAAGCGCTTTGGTAGCTAGGCAGTACTGGATTTGTACTACAAAGGTTGCATCACTAATGTTGCCGGACTTGAGATCCGCCAACGCCTTTTGGAAAAGAGGTTCCATGTCGTTATATGTGGCTGTCCACCCCTCATTTCCCAAAGCCTCTTTTGCTGCGCCGAAAAGTTGATTTTGCGACATGAACACGGAGTGAACATAGATAGGGCGATTCAGAGTTTCGTGCGGATGCAAAAGCACATTCGCAGTTGCTTTGCCAACATCCTCCAACGTCGTCCATGGCACAACGTTGTTTCCATCACCGAAGATCCAGGCTGTCTTCTCTTGGAAGTTCAGACCGGCGAAACCAGTCGAGAGACCCCAATCAAGAAAAGCACCGCAAGCTACTAGGGTGTAGGTCAAGCGGTTATCAGCCGCTTGTTTCTTCACAGCCTCATAGGAAACCTTCTTTCGGCCGAAAACAGGAATGTCATGAACACCTGGCAATTTAGGATCGAGCCCAAAGTCGCTAGTGATACTAATAACGTATAAAAATAGAGTATTAGCCAAAGATGACTTGTCCTAATCTTCAGAGGCTTACGAACAAGCGATAAACTCCAGCCTTAGCAGCCGCTTCAATAAGCCGGAGAGGTGTGTCAACCTCAGGTGAAAAAGTAGTATCGATAACTGCATCCTGTCCGGCGAAAGCAGCAGACAAATCCTCTACCGAGGTGAAGTCAACAACCTTCACCCTAACACCGGTTGGGAAGGGCTTAGAACTGCGACTAAGCACCGTCACATTGAACTCGAGATCGAGCAACGCATCGAGTACCCGAGCTCCGACATTCCCACTAGCCTGTCGAATGGTTAAATTGAACAATGCAGCGTTTTGAATTATACCCTTACCCCGGCGAGAACCACATTCTTGATTGTGGGTGACATTTTCTTTCTGACAGGATGATTTGCTGTTAAGGCGCTTGATGGGAAGAGAAGAATGTGAAGGGAAAATTATGAGCGATAACTAGCGGAGTGGGTATCGCATTTAACATGTATCCTGAATATATTTGATCTGGTGGTGAGTTGGGGTGAGACGGACTTCACCGGAGATCGACAATGGATCTTCGGGTTTACTCGTATTCCCGATTTGATAAACTATACCTCCGTACTCCACAGGACTCTTTGGGGGCCAGAAATGAAAGCTTCGCTAGATCTGTATAATGCAATCATAAAAACCGTGAACCTTTTTTCCAATGGAACTTGTCCTATCCGGTAAATTCAGGCCACCAGCAAATAACTGCAGATCAGTCAAATCTTGAATCCACCTCGTCATTTCCACAGATTATGTTATTACGCAGTATAATGTGTGAATCAACCATTGTACTCATTACTGGTAAGAGTCTAATTTGCGACGAATAATTACACACTTCTCACCCCACTTAGGCGCCAACTGAGGTATTGGCTATGCAACAACTCAAACCATTGCGTCCCAGCCCAACTACCATGTGATAATGCTGAGCCGAGATCTTTCGAAGGGACAGGAGGCGTGTGCCCGACTCAAATATACCAACCTCCAAGGAACACTTTCTGTTATTCAATTGGATGTTGAGGATGATGCTTCAATCTCCAAGGCCGTCGATATTGTTTCAGACCAACCCAGGCGAGTCAACGTCTTTATCAGCAATACTGGCACAACTTTGATTGACTGGTTCTGCTAGACGGAATAAGATCGAAAAGACTTTCTCAACGAACGTCTTTGGCACGGTGCTTGCTACAGAAGCTTCCATCTCCTCCCCCCGTCCATGTCTCATTCAAATATCAAGTTCGTTGGGCTCGTTAACTTGCATCCAATCCAAAGAAGGTAAAAGATTCTGAGACGTGGGATGAATACCGTATGAGCAAAGCTGTGTTAAACATGATGACAATTCAACTGTACAGGCGACTAAAAGACCAGAATGACCGCGTTTTCGGCTTTTGTCCGGGCCTTGTCGATCTAACATGAGGGGTGTTTCTGAGAAGTAGGTTACTTCCCAGGGTAATACTGCGATCCTATAGAATCGGCGAACGCAACTTTAGAGATTATCGTCGAACAAAGAGATACGGATGATGGCAGATTTGTTCACAAAGACGGAGGTTACCCTTAGCTGTTTGCTTTGGCTCTAATCTAGTAGCAAATTATTTCTAGCGCATGTCACTCAAAATGATGTGATTTGAGGCGCAATCATTGTAAATGCGCAAGTTCCTAGCTGACTGACCATTCAATACTGAGATTATTTAAGAGGCACTATATATCTATAGCTATTATAATATTAGGTTATTCTCACCTCTACTCAACCAACGTTGATTTCTATCACTATAATATTCTCTACCTAGGTACTAAAGGGTATAGATCGACCCGGACAGTCTTGACGCCTAGAAGTTTATATTTAGCCCCGCCCGCCGGGCCGGACCGCTTAACCGGACCGGGGCGTAATCTTTTTGGATCCGCCTCCTATCTAGAGGCTAAATACATAACTGAGAGCGATCGCTAGATTGATGACGGTAGTACTTCGTGGAGAGGACACCGGGGTAAGACTACTCGGTGAATGACTATATATAGAGGGGGCTAGCGTGGGTGCATTTTATTGAATATAGCTGGTTTGGGGTGTTTGTGTATCCCAACTACCGATTCGGAAATAAGTGTGATCTTTGATATCATGTAGTAGACCGATATTATGCACATATTCGAGTCGAACGTTATTAGCGTAGTCCCGATTAAGAGTGAACCAGTAGCTAGTGGTGTTGGTTCCCAACCTCGGGGACCGATATCCCATTTGGAACAGTTTGGAATGACGTTAAAACAAGTAAATACATTCTGCCCTATAATTATCTTGCGGTCTTCAGTTCGGGAATGTAAAAGATAGAGATTTGCGGGTTTATGCTAGCTCCGGTTCTTAAGCCCGATACGGCTGTACAAAATGGTTTGCTGGTAACGGCATCCTCGTGCCGCAAACTGCATCAGGCGCTGCATACTCGTTCGACGCCTCTGAGGTCTCCCCTGCGATTGCTGGATTCATTGGCCGAAGTCTTGACCGAATGCCTTCCGACCCCGGCACCATGCTTTCAATCCAGCAACTGCGAGTACCGTCGACTACGGCAGGCTTTCGGGGTCTCCCTTCTCTCGTTGAGCCACGATCGCCACATTATATGATAGATTTTACGGGATTCTCTACGGATGATGCTACGGCGGATATCTCACTCAATTGGGCCGCCCAGGCAGAGCAAGAGGCCAGGCAAGCGGACGCGGCATCTGTCCTATCAACGGCCTATATGTCCCTGTTCAATACCACTCATTTCTCGCCGGCTGAAGTGCTGCACAAAACCTACGGGTCGGCGGCCCCGACTTTGAAGGATCTGAAAGCTAGATTTGATCCTGAGAATATGTTCAATTTGGCCCTGCCGTCACTTCAATGGACGGCAGATAGCTAGACTTCCCCCGTTGCTACAATCGTTGGTACTCGCAACTCAATACAATCATGCCTCGTTTGTCCCCTTTTTACCAACCAACCAACCAACCAAAAAGTCTACGTCTTCCCGATGCAAGTCAATTCACTCGACTCATTTTAAGCCATCTCCATTGATCATATTATGATATTTTTTTTCCAAACATGTACGGGCCTAGCAAACCCCTCCTCGTCCCTCTCAAATTTCAGTATCCTCTCAAATCCCTGCGCTTTCAACTCATTCTCAAACGGTGGCCTGATCTGGATCGTCTTATACGTCTCTCTCAATTCTTTATTCTTCTTTGAAGCTCTCGCATAATTGCTCATAGGCTGGGGCTCCACGACGAGATAACCCCCCTCATTCAGTATGCTTTGTATGTGCGCAAATAGCGTCAACATCCCGGAGTCCCCGTTGTTGAGATGTATCCACTTGGTCACAGAGAGCAGTAGGACAACGTCGAACTTGCCCAGCGCGGTACCCGTGTACGCGGACGCATCCACGAAGTCAAAGTGCTCAAATGTGCACGGCCCGTCCGGGTACGCAGCCTTCGCCTGCTTGACCAGCCACGGGTCGATATCGACGCCGACTGAGGCGGCCGCGCCGCAGTGCGCTATCGCCTCATGGGTCAGTTTGCCCGCGTTGCAGCCTAGGTCTATGACCCGCGCGTTGCGGAGGATATCTGATGGGAGAATGGAAAGGCGCTCGTCCGGAACGGTGGGCGCCCGGAACTTGGCGTAGTATTGGTGGTAATTGCCATGGCGCGCGGCGAGGTGCGTAGCTTTGAAGCGCTCTGCCTTGGAGAGTTCTGTTGCAGGGGGGGATGGTGATGGTATGCTTCTGCCATACTTGGAGATAGTGCGAGCAGAGAGGCACGAGTTGGTAATGATATTGATTATGTCGAAATAAAAATGTGTAATGATGTGACTAACGTTTAGTTTTAGTACACTAAATAGGCCATATATTAGGAATTAAAGGTCTTGAAATTTTGTGATGCCAAAATTTTGTTCTACCCCATTGGTCATGTGATAGATATAAGTGGGCCTATAATTTAATACGATCCGAGCCTTGGTCTAGCCCATGGAGGCATTATGTATCCACTGATTAGATCTGTCCAGTCTCAGGAAGGGAGCAATGTTTCCCGAAGTATGGCGAAAGGGTGTGAAAGGGGATTTTAAGGAATTTGAGAACTCGATCCTTTCGGGATATCCACAATATGACGTCAGCTTTGCTTACTGTTCTTTTTCCCGTCTTCGCTATTTGCCCAGGTGCGCAACCCCCAACATCCATACCGAGGTACTCAATATGCCATTCAGACAGGCGCTTCAGGGCATTATCGATAAGGCAGATAAGGCTTGGGAGGAAATAAGCCATAGCCATCATGCCCCTCCAGTACCGTCGTACAACAAGCCTCCCCCACCGCCTATTCCAACCTCTAGCAAACCACTAGCTTATCAGGAGCAGCACTCGCAACCCCAGATCTACTGGCGGCCCAATCTACATCCTCAAGTACCCGTGTCCTCCAACTTCAACCACGAACAGGGTCAACATGGATGGGGCAACAATGAGTCGCAGAATTATATTGATAGCCCCCAAAACTCATTCCATTCAACCCAGGGCGATGCGGTGATCGTGCGCGCTCTGATCAACCACGGGCATCCCGACCCTGCCCAGAAGTTTACCAGCGCCAGACTGTCGAGCCTCCAGACCCTCAGCCGACCACGGGGCTGTCTGTCGGCTAGAATTACGGCGCCGGTGGCCCGGGGTATCTGGCCTGCCTTTTGGCTGCTGCCTAAAGACCCCTTTAAGTGGCCCGAGGATGGCGAAGTCGACATCATGGAAGCGTGGAACGGCGATGCTGTCAACCACACTTGTCTACATTGGGGCCACTTCGACGGCCAGGACTGGAACAAGCATCGCGTTCTCGAAACTCCCATCCCCAACATTAGCTCGCCGGCGGGGGTGAGGTACGATTTCATCTGGGACGAGGACGAAACAACGGGCAGGGGGCGCTTGGTCTGGTTGATTGATGGCACGCCCATCATGAGGGCCGAGAAGCCGCCTGGCACGAGGAAGATGAGTGAGTTCAGAATCCTCATCAACATCGCTGTTGGAGGAAATGTCTGTCAGGGAAATATGCCCAGCGATGGATGCTACGAGACAATGGTTCGTGAGTTGGCCATGTGGGACGCGCCGCCTGGGGGTTGGAAAGAGTTTGACAGGGCTTGGAGGGATTCCAAAGATGGCAATACCATGTAACGAAAGGAAGGAAATTTACATTGCAAAGTAAATCAACTATATCCACATCCCCTACTTTCTACAAAAGATATCTCTGACTAGGCGAGTGAGATGAGTTGTCGCATAGTGATAGACCAAAATTAATCATTTAAACAAAAATTCAAAGCGACGCATCTTGGCTTGTAGTTGGTTATTCTCGCAGTTCTTGCCTTGCGCAAGAATCAATCAATCAACTCATTTTTTTTCATATAACTAAGCTACTTCCGCATTCCTGTTGGCCCCTTGGTTGCTCCAAGTCCCATATTCACTGATCAACATCAAGTTCGGAATGGCATTGACTCTTTAGACTGGAAGAATACCGCTGTTCTCTATATATTTCAGTATTAGGAATTGCATATGGTCTTGGATGTCTCCGCTACCACGTCTGATCAGTCGGCCTTCTGTTGGAGATATTGAAACGGCCTCACCTCCTAGCCCAAACTCAGTTGATGAATATCCGGATAATATCGGATCCGACGTGGGATATTGCAGCTCAAGGGATACATACAGCGAATTTATCTTAGGAGGCATCATATGAATTATAGAGCTCCTTAACGATGGGACTGCGCTCAAGCCACCATATCTAGGTTATGAGATAGAAAACGACATCATGGAGATCGCCAAAGAAGCTAGCTGATATGGGCGTATTAGACCGCGTAACGGGCTTATTCGGATGCTAGGCCATTCCAGAGAAGGTCTCGTGCTTAAATACTGTTGGGCTACTAACTATGGGGAAAGAGAGGAAGAAGAATCATGATCTATTCAATCTATCTGAAGCAGGGGATTATACCCTGCCAAACAAAGAAAGATATGCTCAGTCTGCAAACAAATGGAGGCATCAATGAGATGACTAGACAAAGGCATCAATGGGATGACCGACATAGTCCAACAAATACATGGAAGAGCGATCTCAAGACATATCTCCAGGCTCACGCCTCAAATAACGTAGTATATATAATCCTCTCTTCGAGTTTCTAGTAGATATCTTTTTAAAAAATAGTGGACTAATTATACGCCCTAGAGCCAATTTTTACTACATAGAATTAGTTCAGAGAATAGGATTATCTACTTTACGGCGAGAATTCTCCCCTATATCACCCACACTTACTCTGAATCAAATTCTAGCGCTTTTTAGAAGCCAGGGGCTTTTTAAGTATTAACCGCGTATAGTATATAGCTAGCAGTCCATGCCACCGCTACCACCCACCTACCACCCACCTTCGCGAGCCAATTTCGACCAACAATCAAAAACAAACAAAAGTAAACGAAAGTAAAAAAAATATACAACAGTGAGGATTCGCTGGTGGGTGTCGCCCAGGTGAGAAATGGGTGAGCGCCGCTTTACGGTCGCGCCACCGGGGGTGAGAACAGTGAGTGCGCGACTTAGATGACCCTACACGGTCCAAGACGCCATGAGACTGCATCGCTCTTTCTATTCCCGGGATGGCTCACAAGAACATTGCTGGCTACGCATCGACAATAACTTCGTTAAAATATGTCTAATTGAGAATGGTGTAGGCTGAGACGACATTGAAACTACACTGCCAAACCCTTTAGATACCCTTAACGTCCTGTCATCCTTTCTTTGCTTGATCAATACTATGGAATGACCGAAGTAGAGTAGACAGGCCAGCTTATCGACATCGGAATCCAGATCGGCGATCTCTTTCAGCTCATTCCTTTGCGCGGATTGAGAAAATTGGAAACACTCTTCAACATACGCTCTGCGAAATCAGTTGTCAGTTGACAACATCACTGTTGTGGTTCACACTCACTTGCTGCAAACTGACTGAAATACTAGTGTCATTCGGTGAGCCCTGCCAGTCGCCATATCTGAGGATTCTTTCAGCCCAAGCACCCCTATGACCATCTCAAGCGCCAATATTGGCCTGGACGGTTCATTCTCTCGAGGAATCTGCCGCAGGAACATTTTGTTTTGCCTTTTCGATCGACGATCGATTGGGGTAAAGTTCAATACCTAACAAAATAATATAGAGAAATAAAAGCAAGCGGGTTGCCCGCCTCACGCCGGCTACCTGTCTCTGTCATTGCTATAATGCCCGTTGGACTTGACCGCTGTCCTAAAATATTTGCTATCTGTTGCGTTTCTCATTCTCCATGATGATGTCTTCTGTCCTCTTTCTCCCTTTCCCTATCTCTTCCAGGTAACCACTTATATTCGCTTGAATGTTTCAATATTTCAAGCCCTTCAATGGTTTCATCCGGACAATCCGGATTTTCGTGTTTCCGCAAAATGTACAACAGTTCAGTAGCACGCATGAACTTGATGTGTTCCAGAATTGTCAATTCTTCCTCAATGTTTTGGCCCAAGGAAACCGGTGCACTTTCGTTTGTGTCCGCACCATGTTCTAGACAGAGCTTCACCGCAGGACCCGAATTAGCGCTGATGGCATATCGGATAGCGGTCCACCCTGCATTGTCTTTGATATTAGGATCTGCTCCTTTGCTTAAAAGCGCCGCCATTCGAGGCAAATTCCCACCCCTAGACGCTAGATGTAATGGTGTCACACCATCGTTATTCTTCGCATTTGCTGCAGCTCCATATTGCAATAACAATCGCACTGCTTCATCGCTGCCCCGTTCGTCCGGTTTAGGTTGGCGATTAAAGAATTTGAGACCATCAATTTCTGTGCAATATCCTTTCAGAATAACCCTCGAAGTCTTCAACAAATCCCTAAAGTTAATTTGGGTTACTCGATGGCGAAGTGTCGGGTGGTAAAATGGCATAGGATCGAGGCGATGATTGTGTCCCAATGATCCCTTCAGCTCTTTGGTGTAAGAAGCTGCATGTAATGGCGTGTTTCCAAAGGTGTCAAGAATATTGCAGTGCATCTCAATACCAACAAGCGACTCTATTGCATGGAGATTTGACACTTCCGCTGCTAGGTGGAGCAGTGACTTTCCGGGTATTGTTTTTGTTAGGAGAGACGCTCCTTTTCCAATGAGATATCTCAGAGTTGCACGAATGTTCCAATTGTCATGAACCTCCCCCCATACAACAGCATGCAAAGGTGTTTCGCCCTGGGAATCCAAGGTCATGAAGTTTCCACCCATCTCAAACGCACTCTGAACAACATCGATATTTCCTGAGCCACAAGCGATATGAAATGGAGTTGTACCTTCCACAAGAGAGTTTATTCCACCGTATTGGTTCACGAAAGTTTCAAAAAGATCAATGTACCCCAGCTTAGCAGCAATATAGAGAAATATTTGAGCCCACCCTTCATATTCGATAGAGTTATTTCCCACTTGCATCATCTGAAAAAGAGTGGACTCCGAAGCCCAACTCATAGCTGCTGCAAGCTCAAGGGACCCGAAAGATGCACCGTTTCTGATAAAGATATCAAGCAGGTCTCGCCCAGACCCAGTATGAAGCGTAAGGCGTAGTTGTGCCCCAAGCATCTTCGACCAGTCAACAGAGGAAGTCTGCTCTACTAATATGCTTAGCATTTCTGAATCGCCCTTTTCAACAGCACAGCTGATGAGAATAGAGCCTTTAGTCTGAATTTGATCTGATATCGTGGCCTCTTGTACCAATTTAGACACTGCCGAGTAATCATCTCGAGATACGGCTTTATGTAGAGCAATGAATGGATCAGCAGAGCCATATCGGAGTTTGTGCACTAAAGAATATCGCCAATTCTTTTGTTTTGTGCTTGTTCTGGTAGAGCCATTCGTATTTGGGCTAACGTGAACCTGGCCCACACTAGGAACGAAGGTTGCTGGGGGTATGCAGTGCGGAGAGCCTTCGTTGGCTTGCTGCAAGTCTGTGCTATACGTGTAAAGAGACTCATTGTCTGGGCAAAGAGGCAAGTCTTGCACTTCATCTGGAAGGATCAATCTTCCCGATAAGGATGCATTTTCAAGCCAGTGAGCAATGAAGTGATGCTGCTCGCCGAGGATTTGAGGCGAGATTCCGGAGTTGGCCAGCTCTCTTTCCAACTCGTGCCATTCGGCACCATCTTTCTTCAAGCTTGAGATCGTGGACCTAGAAAGTCGGCTTGACAAAGAGCGATTATCCCCTTCTCCCTCATTGATAAAGTCTATAAGTCGGTCCAATCTCTCAACCAAGTCGTTCATGGACCGACTTTTCTCAGAGTCAGTAAGCCCTTCATTGTTGACAATTCCGTGCTAGTCAGTCACATACCTTGCCAAGTGCTGATTTAATCCATTGACTTTTGAGGTGGTGCATCTAATTTGTGACTTGCAACTCTCAAGCCCGGAAGATTCCGGCATTTGTTGCATGAAATGTTTCCTTCCTATCTGAGAAACCCTTTCATGGGCTTCAATCATTGTCACTAGCCCTTCTAAAGTCTGGCAGCAATCAAAAAGTTGATCTTCAATTTCTAGTCGACGATCTGTCGAGTAAGTGTCGCTCTTTAGTTTTTCATTGAATATACGAAGTTCGACATGCAAATGAAGAACATCTTGCGCGACTTGAAGAAAGGCTGGTAAAGAGGTGCGCTGACATGAGCGATAGATTGTCCAGGCCAGATCAGGAAGCTGTGAAAGATCTGCGGGCGATAGATATGTTAGTCCGTGAGCTCTTCGTTTTGAAAAGTTAATTGTCATACACATCTTTACGGACGGCCTGGGTCTGTCTTGTATACAGCGTATTGGTTGTAGAAGAATACTTGATATGTCAATACCACCATTCGCGATATTATGGCCGTCTAAGATGGAAAGATGATCAGAAAAGCCCAAATAGGTTAGAAAACTAGGTATGGTTCTGAAGGTAACAAAAATTCCCATCTGGGAGGGTGGTTGAATGTAAATCAGAGCCCATCAATCCTCGTTGTCCAGCGGATCTATTCTTACCGTGACCTTGCTTAAGCTTCAGTGAACCCACAAGCGCATCTGCACACAGCATTTGCAAATTTCGCTGCACTTTTCTATAATTATCCGCATCAGATTGGACATCCAAGTTGAAACGACACATATTGCTATGGTCGGCATCTATGCGCAATTGTGTTTCCCGGTTTCCTGGAAGGTTCAAAACAGCTGAATCGAATGGAACAATCTAGAATACGAAAATTAGCATCTATCAGAGAAGATTGGGATGTTGGGTAGATACATCGCCTATCCCCTCGTAGCAGGATAGTATGTTGTACGTTTCGAGCTGATGGCGAAATGCTTCACTCAAAATGTCGGAAAAGAGTGTTCCTTGTTCTAGAACCTCTATCAAGGCTGAATGAGCCCCGAATGGCAGGGATCGAGCAATCTTAGCACATGCCATGCCGAGGCCGACTTTGAGATTCTTTGACGGCCCACTATGAGGGGTTCCAAAGAATACAAGCGAGTGACTTATCAGGTATGTTTTAGCCGATAACGTATGGTGGGAGGGGGGCACAGTATTAAACTTACGTTGCCTCTTTGATGCCCCTGTACATTGGATTTGCCCACGCGTTCACCAGTGCCTACCATCTTGTTTAGAACACATCTTATATGGGAATGTCACTGATCTTACCTGCTTGATGAGAATTCCCCCTAGGCTGTGTCCGATAAGGATTAAGGGGATGTTTTCACCCTAAATTTGCGTTCAGTGAATTCATCCAAGAAAATTGTCAACGTGCAACTCACAAGTTCCCATCTTGCTCCATGAATCTCATCTAAGAATACATTTGCCTCGCGTACGAAGCTATCTCGTCCCGACCCAAATACGGGACTTGAGTTGTATTCGTAGATGAAAACCCTCGCGTTAGGTTGAGCTTTCGGAAAATCGTGTTTCAGCCAGAGGTTACCGCTATCATCTTCCGGTTTCCGCCAAGTGTTGAAAGCGTGATTAGCAGATCCCATGGGATTCAGACCATGGACAGCGATGATGCTAAATCGTGGTCAAAACAAGCAACGTCAAAATTCAGATTGGTAATTGTACTCAAGTTCTGGCTTCAGTGTACCATTTCGCCCTGTGCCTGGCGCCAACTCGCGGAGGGACTACATTTGTCAGCTAAATGAGAACCAGAAGCAGCCTGCTAGTCTAATATTCATACCATGTTGAAATAGAGCCTTGATCCAGAATTGCAGTGAAAATACTGCCTTGCAAAGTTCCAACGAAGGACGGACAAAACACTAAGTAGCTTTCGCTAAAAATTTCGCGATCATGTGCGCGCACACTTCCCCATAATGGAATGCTTTGCGGCCCATCTCTTCGTATCTTTTTCGATTATACATCTATCTGATTGGCGCGTGACAAAAGTACATTTTAGAACCCTGTAGGTTTGGCCGATTTTCTCTATTTTAATGGCGAGCCTTCTCCACTCCCTTTTCAAAAATAGACACGGCACTCACGTAGCAACTGCGAAATGATATGCAGCTGGATAGGCTTCTATAATTCTCCCCTTTGATTGGTACGGTCGGGCCCGGTTCCTGAGGGGCGACCTATCTACGGGTCAGCGGAATAGAATGGCACTGTCAATGCGCATGTAGTTTGAGTCGATGCGCAGAGCTAGATGTTGATGGAGTGAAAGATCGACAGGAGACCTAGCCCCCAAAACCGTACGTAATACAGTGGCTTCTTTACCACTAGGCATATGATTTGGTGCTGCCCAAGCAGCAAGAAACTTAATGGTGATATATTTCTGCCATGAGAAAGACGCCCCCTGCTTAATCATAATATAAGCTTGTGCAAGGTTCGAGTAATTGGATCTCGATCTCACCATAATGTTTCGAGCCGGCTCTAGTAGCATTTATGGGTAGTTGACGCTCTGAACTTACGAGTAATAGTGTCGGGTTATAGCTGTGAGCCTGTTGGGCTGTGGGGGAATGGGGCAATTTTATATTAAGGGCGCCTACTAGATTATCGCTATATACCACTTAAGTATTATATTATTTTTTTATTAGATGCCCTCTATCCGTTTAGAGATAGCGCGTTATCTTAGTTTATACACGTATCCACAATCTCATAATATACTAGTAGATATGAACATAATAAGTCGAGGAACGAAAAGAGGGATCGAGGTGATATCGGATAAATTTTGTTCTAGAATCCTAGTCTTAGTATATAGAGAATGGAAGGATACTTAACTATATAAGGAGGGTGCATCGCGTATGCTATCATTAACAAGCTGGACCGCTTCGGGACGGCACGAAGTTTGGGATCTGCTTGCTAGCCCTTAACTTAGCGTGTGGTTTGGTATAGGGCGAGCTAGGGCCAATTAGCGGGAGACGCACCACTAATTTGAGATTTCATGGATCATAGGCTTCTAGGTCAGTGCGGCGATCGGGCAACTTTTATTAAGAAGATTGACTCGTAGGAGGTTTAGTATCCCAGCAAATGCTTAGCATCGGGCTTATATGGAGCTATAACGGCATCGGATTGAGTCGTAATACATTGAATGTGGGGTAGTGGTGTGTGGAGCGAGGTCGAAGATAGCGGGTCTCCGGCCAAGACACAAATTTCATAAACACGAATCACAATAACGCACCGCAGTAGAAACACGAAATAATCAGTGACTCATATATAAGGATGCACCCTCATCACGCCGGGCGATCGGACCCCAGTCCTAAATCACCATACAGCTAAGCCACCCCCTCGGCGCTATACCTGAGTAATATAAAAAGAGTCGCTGGTAATAAATACAGGCCTACAGTGACTGTTCAAATGTCTTAACACTAGCCCCACACTCCTTGATCATGTAACTTTCTGCCGGTAATTAACGGCCAAAGTTCCCGTCTGGATTACAGTACGCTCCTCGGCTTCTTTCTAGATATCTTTCTAGGTGAACATATTTTTAAGACTAAAGTAAATCAAAGTAAACCATAGCAAAGTAAAAGAAGGGCCCGGAGCTTAAATTTATGTATTCTGTTTAGGACAGGTTAAATGAGAATTGCAACCGTGTTCTCACCTCTCTCACCCCTGTCTCCAGACTTCTCACCCATATCACCCGCACTTACCCTAGAGTGCCGCTTAGATACTGAGGGCGCATTGACTATTGGCCGTGTAGAATATTGGGCTTAAGTACGGCTGAGCGGACGGGAAGCCCTGTTTTCCACACCCTATAGTCATATGTATTAGGTTACATGGCGGAGAGAATAATACAATGCGATTAGAGGGTGGTAGGCGAGTAGGGTAGGGAGAAGTGTGATATTATACACTAGGCAATTCCTCTATTTCGATATAATAAACTATAAATTGAACAAATAAGTCGTGGTGCGGATTAAAAAAAGAGTTATACTATAACATTTAGAATTCGAAATAATAAGAATACTCAGCCGCTTATACAGCCTTGCCATGTCTTTTTAGAAGTCTTCTCAACCCTTATTTTTAATATCTTTTTTTTTGATATTCTCGCCAATTAGTAGAGTTAGCTGTAAAATGTGCAAACCTACTTTCCTAGATATAATATACGATTCAAGCATAAGTTGAAGAATTCAAAGGATACGGAGTGCAAGGATAGAAAGTTAGACTGTAGAGAACTGGGGTATTGATATTCTAAGCATTAAGAATACCACTATCGAGCATTAGACTTGAACTTTCAACTTACATAGAGAATTGGCGCGTATGATATTAGTGGATTCAAATGTATAAAATACTCTGCAAGCAGAATAAACTGGCGCAATGGCGGTAATAGACTGCCGTAGGCCACCAAGCTCCTAGGAACTGCAAGATCCCCAATTCACATGCACTTCTGAATACATGCCCCAGACCTTTCGCCTAGCATAATTTCACTCGCTTTACTGAGGATAGGGATGAGCAAGGGTAACTAGATGGATTTGTTTTTCATCATACTTCGTCTCGAATCCTGGCTAGACAGCTAACTAACCAGGCAAGTGGCCCTTCTGTTGACCTTGCAGAAAGATTGTTCTACCCTAAAGGCCATACAGGAATAGTACGGAAGCTATCTTTTGTTATTTACGAATTTACTTTTATGAGAGTAAAGTGGAGAAACTACATATGATTTCGAACCATCCTATATAAGCCATAAAATAAAAAAACAAAATACTTAAGAGACATCTAGCAGCTGCAACCTCTAGACGTACCACCAATACCACAGGCATAGGTCGTATACCCGCAGTCCTGGTATGTACTGCAAGTATACCAACTGCCCCACCCGGCCTTTTTCGCAGTCTAGCACCATTGCCCATTGTTACCGCAAGACTTCCAGCAGCAACCCTTCGAGCAGCCGTAAGGCGCAGCAGTGTAGCACGCGTCAGCAGCTCGCTCCTCCAGAATGTTACGAGTCTCAATATAAGTCAAACTTTTTTTCATCGTCAAAGGGAGCATCATCATCTTCGAAGGGAGCCAAAGAGGCTTCGTCAAGATAACGCTCGCGGCCGAGGGGGTGCTCAACACACTTGCGAAGATCGGAAAGGCTAACACCCTCAGAGAGTTCGTGGGCCTGGAACGACATGACACCACCGAGACCGCTGCACTCGTCGGCATCATCGGCGTCGGGAACAGCAACAGAGACGGCTGTGGTGGCGTAGGTGGCCAGGAGTATGAGGCACTTGGATATTTGCATCATGAAGGTCTATGAGTGCAGTCAATATCTCAGTTCAAGTTATCATAAGAGACAATTCTTCATACATGCGAATCAATATTAGAGAGGGAAAGTAGTACTTAAAAAGAAATGTCTTAAGATAGGTGGTTAAGATGTAAAATGATTGTTTCCAACAATGACAGAAGCCTCGTTCTTATACCCTTCCCCCATTAGTTCTATCGAGCCCTTAGCCAACTTGAGATTCTCGGTTGTGTGCGCCATTTTCTTCACAAGGCCACATTACATCTTTCATAAACATGCATCTATGTCGCTGGGGTATTGACACAGCCCACCTTAGGAAGCTAATCCCGAATGAGGGGAAGGAAAAATATACATACAACATCTGTAATCTCTGTAGGTGTCCTTTCCATATGGGTGCCAACATCGGGAAAGGCTTTGCCAATGTCAGCTAAGTCGGCTCCCATTGACTTCGTTTATAGGACGCTTTTCTAGGCAAAGATATCCAATTGGCCATGTCTTAACTCGGGAAATGGTTTTATCCTGTTTAGGTACGGGAAAATCTTAGGCCTAGGCTCAAAGCCTAGGCAACCCCGATTTGTTAGTAGATTGGCAACTGATAATCTTTTCCGATGGAGTGAATCAGAGTTTGTCCCTGTTGTATATTCATAATAGAAATCACTTTATTAGATTTAAGAGAGTATATTAAAACTATCGCTTTAACGAGTCTTACACGGGGCTATACAAAGATTTTTCACTTCCTACATACTATATACCAACAAGGAGCTAGTTTCTATCTCTCTCACTCTATCATAGTTGATATAGAGTATGTAGGTACCTACCTAGGTAGGTATGTAGTATATTAAACTTAATGAGGTTTGGAAACCCTCTCCGAAGCAGTCCCGCGGTAACGTGCGGCTGCAAAGTGAGGGGCCAAAAGCCGCAGACGCCGATGCTGAGGTTTGGGCTGTGAACTACCGTTCGCCAAAGACCGACCGAGCGACTAAAGTTCCGTCAGCTGCCACCCAAGTACACTTTCAAAATACGACCACAGTTTTCCCTCAGCCCTCATCACACATCGATCTTCACACATCATGGCTGCGTCCCTCGAGTCAACCCCCGCCATTACCATTTTCCGGGGCTTTCCCGAAAAAGGCTGTTACACCTGGTCGCCATTTGTCACCAAGCTCGAGGCCCGCTTGCGCTTTGGCAATATCAACTATAATGTCGAGGCAGGCTCACCCCTAAAATCTCCTAGGGGTAAGGTGCCCTACATCACACTCGAGCGCGATAGCCAGTCTCAATCTATCTCTGACTCCACCCTGATCGCGAAGTCATTCATTGAGTCTGGAGACCTGGAGGATCTCAATCGCAGACTCTCCCCCGTGGAAAAAGCCCAGGACCTTTCCCTCAAGGCCCTGCTCGAGGATAAGCTCTATTTCTACCAGGTAACACGAGCCTAATTCACATTTCATAAAACATACGCAAACTCGCGTCATTACTAATACCTGGAATTAAACCAGGGTCACGAGCGGTGGGTCGTAAACTACTACGCCATGCGCTCCAAGATCCTGGCCAGCGTCCCCTGGCCTATACAGGTCATTCTCGGCTATATAATCTATAACAAGAACGTCCGCAACCTACAGGGTCAAGGAACGGGCGGCTTTTCCGCCGAAGAAATCGCCACATTTCGGCAAGAAATCTGGGAATCTGTCAACGGGCTTATATCGGCTGCGCGTGCCCATCATCATCGGGAGGGGCCGTTCTGGGTGTGGGGCGGCGATGCCCCCACCGAGGCCGATACAGTGCTCTTTGGCTTTGTGGTGTCGGGCCTTGTCTGTGGAGCGTAAGTATACTTTTCTAACGTGATAGTTATATGCCTCGCGCCGTACAACTGATGATAGATCGTACTGACTTTTTGGAAGGGCTCCGGAAACCAAGCAGATTGTGAACAGTTACCCGGCGCTGGTAGAGTATGCTCGGAGGATCCATGACAATTATTTCCCGGATTATCAGCTTTGGGAGTAAATTTTGATTTTGGATTGGATTCCTTTCTCGTGGATTTGGAAGTGTATCGGTATCGGGTAGAACAATATCATTGCATGTAGTCGCTCACTTGAATATGTCTGGCATTATTTTATTTACGTAGATCGGTAGTCTACCTATTAAGTACTTACCCTACTTATTTCCCTACGCAAGTCAGATAGCAGGCCGGCGAGGATGATTCTCCGCAAGTACGGGAGTCACCGCATCCTGAATTTCATCCCGGCCGCACAACATCGATGATGTGTTAGACATCAACATCACCAGCAGTCTTGATTGCCTTGAGGAAGTTCTCCAAAATTTACCGGTACCCGAGTTCTTTTTCCATCTTATTGGAGTAAAGCTTCCATCGTTTGTCAGAAGACTCATCGAAAACGCAGACGCAGTCCCGCTTGTCGCATTCCAAGCAGGTATTCCTAGTATTTACAAATTAATTGACTCGGGGGTATAGCACACGAGCATTTAATAATCAAGGCCATACTCATTAACAAAGCCGTGCTCTGCCCGTAAAGCCTCCGCGTCCTGCGTCTCAAACCTGAAATTCCATAGCTTCTCAACTTCTGAGAGTTCAGCTTTACTTTTATGCTTGAGTGGCGTATAATGCTCATTGTTCATCCCTTTGGAGCTTCTTCTCCCCGCATGCTGCATTACGACCGGGGTTACCGCCCAGCGAATCTCCTGGTTCTCATTTGCATATTCTTCCGTGAGCATGTCCACATACCCCAGACGCTTCCTTTCATATAGATCAGTGAGATCCGGGATTCGCGATCGCGGAAAGACCAAGGCTTGCGAGCAGCAACCAAACCGAGGCATTTGGTGAACGCCGTCCGAGATCGGAAGCACGGTAGCACGACCGGTAGCAAAGAAAAGTCCAATCAGGAGAGGCGTGCAGATGCCACTGAGGAGAAAGATGGTTTCGGTGGAGAGCTTTGATGCCGATCGAGGTCCGTATTGCCTTACGCCCAAACAAGTACAGGCAACCAACAGAACGGTGAGGATCGAGTAAAAGAGGTACACCGGCCATTCTTCCGAGTTCCATCCGAGTAATTCTTCTGTATAGAAAAGACGGAGGTAGAGCCCTATGTAAAATAGAAATTTAGTTACAAGATCCTTCGAAGGGGATGTCGTACAAACTCACACTTCGATGCTCCAATTTGCTCAGTCTGCTTTTCTGCAGACGCCAAAGCTTCCCGGGTACGATGGTACCATCCATCTAGAGCAAAGACGTCGTCTTCGAGCATGATGACGTACGGGGTATTTGCCGCCTCGCATGCCTTCAATAGATAAGTGTAATCGAAGAGAGCCTTTTCACGCCCAGATACCTTGGCCGCGTCTGTCTCGAGAGATCGAATGTGATCGATATCCACTTCGGTGGGGTCGTACAGCAACACTTGATCCGGCACCTCGTGCAGCCAAGGCTCCGAGTAAGCTGGATGCTGTGCTGCATCCGTGTGCGCGATGAATAATATCAGGTGGATATCTGCACGCTCTTCCTCACTTAATCCCTCGAGAACCGTGCCTACTGTAGTCTTGAAATACCGGACACCATGCCGAGCGATAGATGCAATCCCAACGCATAGCCCGGGATGTGACGAGGCCTTGGGCGTAGTCGGCAGTGTAGCATTGTTCACCGACTCAAGATATGAGACCGCTTCATACGATCTCAGATCGGAATAAGAGGCATCGTATGCAGTCCACGGTTTGAAGAACACTGAACCTGGGTCGCGAGAAGCTATCACGTGTGCGTAGAAAGCGAGGGCGGAGAAAAATGCAAGAAAGAAAAGAAAAACTCGGACCAAATGAAGGACAGTCCCGGAAATTGGTGGTCTCAAGCCGGGTGAGACCTTTCGAAAAGCAAGCATCTCCGGAAAGGAACGAGTACTCTTTGCCAGGAAATTGAGGAAAGATGGAATCGACAGGATGATGGCTGGGCTTGAGATTCACCACAGCTTCAAACGGCCCCCTCTGCCGATCATACATACGCACCACAGCCAACGGTGGCCCCCTCTGTCGATCATACGTAGGCGAGTGGAAGGGTGGAACTTTGGAACAAGCCACTGACCTGTGGACCTAGTGGTTTATACGCGCTGAACAAGGGTCCAAATATTAACCCCATCAAATCTGCATGAGCACAGCCAATAGATGCAGGGGGGCGATATTGGTATTCCATCGCCTATTGAGACTAGTAGTGTATGGAGTCGGGGGCTGAAATATCGGAAAGATTCGAAGGATTCAAGCCGAACGTGCGGTCTTATTTTGTACAATGAGCAAGACCTGCTGCTTCTGTCGCGGTACAGGAACTAACAATGCCACGAAAGTCCTTTATAATGACTTCTTTCCTCTAAATATCATAGTGGAATATAATATATCCGCCATAAGTCAATACATGTATCCGATTCGAAATCCGATTTTACTCATAGAGTATCAGGCTATTCCAACATACTCCGTAGTATATAGTATGATGGATTAATAATTAGGGACCGTAGTGGACTACCTAACAAGTAACGATTAGGGGCCATAAGTAATTGGCCAATTGAATTATTCCACTGGCCCTTCATTGAAACCCCTGTTTAAGTACTCCGTACTCCGTACGGAGTTCTTTATCGCGCTCCATATAATAGGAAAAAGCCTTCAAAAATGTTTGGAGATGGTGATGCCAAGTCCCCCCCCCCCATCTTCGGCTGTTTACATTTTGGCCCCCAGGGCTGAGAGGCCCACAGCCAAGCTCTCGGGGGCAGTAGGAACCAACAAGATATGCAGAGATCTGATGTCATTTACATGTATCATGTTGACTGTGTTGACACTGCGTGTTTGAGAACTATGTTGCTGTAGAACAGCCATGAATAAGTGTTTAGTAGGCATTTCAATTGCCTTGCTAGTACTAGAAAAAGATATAGTTCTACACGAATCAGGTAGAGCATAGGATACTATGTGAAGTCAAATAATTAGAAATACTATCTGAAGGGAAAGCCTTCTACTCCTTCAAGCTGCTTTGTATGTTGTATATAGGCACCACTGTTCGCCTCGCTTGAAAGTCACCGGATGCTGGCGGGCCCCCATGTTACATGATACAGATTGCAGCGTAAATAGTCCAACCTTCTTGATTCAGGAAGCTGAGACATATTAAACTATTAAACTAGTCAGATAAATGATCGAGATGACATCATGTGAAGGGGGCCAACCTCATGTGAAGGGGGCCAAATCTAACCTTTGGAAGGGAATATACTATCTATCAGGCATATAAAGGAACGCTTTATGCCACCTAGTTTGTCATTCAACAATCAACAGCAAGGCAGCTAAGAATTCAGCCAAAGAGCGACAGCTGTATATCCTTTTCTTTCACAATGAAACTCGCCATTTCCCTTCTAGCAGCGGTCTTTGCTGCAGTTGCTGCGGGTGAAGATTATGTCTGCAACACGAGCGATGCTAGCCCCTACCTACACAACGTCAACGAGATGATTGGCAATCTCAATGATGCGGAAATAGGTGTGCTCATCTGCAACCCTGGGCCGGTGAATGGCTGTGGACAAACCTGGACGGGATACTCTGGAAGCGGAGGCGCGGCATTCATGATATGTGGCGGCTCAATGCGGGTAAGTAATAATCTACATATATATAATAACTTCAGCAGTTACTGATATACTATATATAGTGCTCTGGTTCCCCTGGTGGTATTCCCTGTTCTGTAGGTGCCTGTGGTGGTATGAGGGTCCGAGGATTAGCAAGTTATCTCGAGGCACTTCGCGATAAATGCCAGGGCCCAGACTCTAACGGGGATATCCGAGTTGGCGGGATTGTCCGTCTTGTGGATGCTGATGGAAGTGGTGGAGACGGTGAGATCAAGCTCTTCTCGAAGCCTGGTTAAATTCGATGTCGGGTGTCAGCGAAGGCGAGATATACGGAGGGCGAGATATCCGGGCAACTCCATATGTACCTTGGGATGGTGGGCAGCAGAAGATACATGTAATTACTGGGATCTGAATTAATACCGCTCCGAACTTTGCCAAATCCACTTTGTATGTTTCGTTAAATCCTCATCTCTTTACTAAACAGACTATTCAAACGCACTATAAACGGTAAAGTCATGCTCCCAGCAAGGAATGGCCGTAACTCGAATCGTACGTCCCAAAGGAACTCATTAAGAGCGCCAGTTGACAAAACGTTTTCACCCAATATAAAAAAGCCTTCCACAACCTTTGTTTTGGATGCTCTCCATTCTCATGAGTAGGATCGGCGAAGCATGCGATGGGCGAGAGGACACTGAACACGTGGAATAGTCCGCTACTTATTCGGCTTTGTCATGTGTCTCTGGTGGTTTTTTTGGTCGATTTCTTTTCCCTCATTGGTGTTGTAGCTAGAGTATATGTAAAAAAGGCTTAAAATGTGCAAAACGACTTTTCCATGTAAAACGTTTGAATTGTAGAAGATAGACGGGGCCATATGCCTATTCAACAGGGTTAATTTTGGCTAACTACATATGACCAGAAAGGCAAGAACGCCAATGATCCAATCTGCTATTGTACAAATTCCAATACCTCAAACCTGCGCCTGAATCTCATCAACGACCCGCCCAAGAGTCCCATTACTCCAGCCATCAACCCGCTCCCGGTCACAATTCTCATACAAAGCACGCGCAAGTGCCGCAAGCTGAGCAGCCTCCTTCGTATCAGCCTCTGCAGCTTGGATCTGGATCCAACTGATGACACCAGAACGGGTGATCAGGGTAGTACTGCCACCGACCTGGGCGGCGCGGTACACAATATGCAGGATCTTTCGTCGAGCTGCTGGGCCGAGGGTTGGGGACTGGTAGAGGGAAAGAATGCGTTCGAAGACATTGGCTCGTCGGTAAACCTCCATATCCTAGATTCGATGTGTTAGCAATCGTGATTTTGGAGTGTAGAACATAAAGGTAGCAACTTACAGCTTCGGTGCGGAGTGCCTTGATAAACAGGTTCAGAAGCCAGTCGATCTCATCGAAATACCCATCATCCAACTCAGGCTCGTGCAAGAGGATTTTGTCGACCCAGTATGTTGGGATCTTCTCGACTTCCCAGAATGGTGCCTTCTGCAGGAACTTGTTGACTTTGCCGTAAACCTTGTGGAGAGGGTCTGTGAGAACCTCCAAGCAGTTCGAGGCGCACTCGCCAACAATCCAAGGAACGGGCTTCTCCATGCCGATGTTGTTGACTGTCTCGAGGAGCTCACCGGCTAGAGTAAACACCGTGCGCCATTCAGCGTAGGTGGATTCCTTGAGTTTGGCCATGAAGCGAATAATGTTGGCGAAGGCCTGTCTTCGGACTTCTTCGTGCTGAGAACAAAGGCAGAGCATCAATTCGGCGACGTGACCCTGGTCCACTGCTTCCGCAATGTCCTCTCTTTCCCATTTGTTCAGAGCATTGTGGGTCGTGCCTTCGGTGGGCAGGGATCCAAAGATCTCATCGAGGTCAACGGCAGAGGCTTTGTTGGATGAACTAGGCATGTTAGAGCCAGAGTCAATGTCCATCTTGTCCTCATTGTCGGCATCATCTGCCTCTTTCAGGGACTTCTTAAGAAGAGACTTGGTTTTCTTGGTCTCGGTTGCTTCAACCAGCGCATCCCGAGCAGCTTTGAGTACCTTGGTGCTCTCACCTGCCTGCTTCAGATTACCCAGGAGACTGGCGATCCAGGCTCCAACGGCAGCTTCCGTGGATGCATCTCCGCTCTTGACGACAAATGGCCATTGCTCAACAATGGCAGTAACAAGCGCGCTAGTAGTTCTGGACATATCCTCGGATAATGACTGGAGTAAATCCTGGTAGTGAACGGGCTTTTTAGCAACACGTGAGACACAGTTATCAAAGAAGACCAGCTGTTGGTGCAAAGCATCAGCTTGGGAATTCTCAAGGCTTGACAAGACAGACGCAAATGCGTGTGGGGAGCTTTGCAGAACAGAGTTATCAACCAGAACGGTCTTGAGCAGGGTAGAGATACGCCGCGAAGAATCCTTATCTGAAGTATCCATGAGAACCTTGAGAATCGAGGTGAAGGGTGAATATTGCATGGATGCTGGCTTTTGCCACCAACGCAATGAAGCGGACTGTTGTGCGATCTGGAGGATGCTCTGAAGTTGGCTCAAAAGCGATTCGGAATCATCCGCGCTAACTTCTGGGGCTTCCAGTCGCTTTAGAACATCCACCAATACAAGTGAGACGTCAAAGTTTTCCTCCAGCGCAATGTCCGGCATCACTTCATAGTAACAGGTCAAGAGCTCTGCAACAGCCTCCTGCTGGGTCAGGTCCTCCTTTTCTGTTCTTCGGAAGAGCACAACGACGTCCTTGACAGCAGGGCAGCGGCGGGAGAACTCTGCCAGCAACTTAGCAGAGGCCTGATTCCAGAATAGCTGACCTTGGCCATGATCCGCCTGGAAGATTTTGAGGACAGCTCGCAGCTTCGTGAACGCAAGAGTCAGGATTCGCACAGCAAACAGAGTGATAATCTCCGCGTTCTGGTTGAGGCAGCGGGTCATGATCTTCTGGCCAAGGGGGCGAGGGAGAATATTTTCAATAACGATAGAAATCGGCGGTGGCAGGATGGGCTGCTTATCCTTCCAGCCACAATTTGCAGGGACAGGCAACTGCACAGTTGAGAAAAGGAAAGCCGACTCGGCCATCCATGAAGGGGTAGCCTTGGGATCTGAAATAAACATAGTTTTCCTCGAGAAGTAATCGGCAACCAGCTCTGGTGCAACCCTGAAGATTGAAACAAGAAGTTCAATCTGGAGACTATCCACATCAGGCCGAAGGCACTGAATGAGGAATGAAAGGGAACCATTCCGCACGGGGACAGAGTCTCGGTATTTGTCGACGTAGATGGGGGAATCAAGGCCCAATTCAATGCATGCATCATCATCAACAGCCAAGGTCTCTGGATCGGTGCCGACGGGATACCAGCCAGTCTCGGGCAAGAGAACGCCGAGCCCGGCGGTTTTGCACACATTCATCATGACTCGGTGGATCTCATTGGCGATGACAACTCCCCCAGCATTAGGTTCATCTGACTCTCGATCATAGCCATAAAGCGTCACTAGTCGTTCCAGGTTGTGTCTGTTGAAAAACTTGCTCTTCGATTTGCGGGATACAGCGGAATCTTGTACCACGTCCCTCTCGATCGCCTTGATAATTTCTAGTACAGTATCGCGCGGATCCTTCCGGATATATTCGAGGAAAGACCTGGTGATCTTGTGCTGTTCGATGATATCATCCTTCTCGGAGACATGCTGAACTCTCAGGTTCGCTAGCAGGTATCGCTGAGCGTTGCGTCTAAGAGTCGACTTCTGGGACTCATCCTCTGAGATCTCCTGTGCTTTATTAGGGGTCAAGAAGACCTCCAGTCGCTTGAAGGTAATGTACCGCCGGAGGTACAGCTGTCGTGCCACTGCTCCTCCGTCAAAAGTCACAATCTCCGTAAGCAAACGCAGACATGGTGAGATCAAGTGCTCTTTAGACTTGGTTGCTGTCAAGCCGCGGTTGAACAACCTCAGCTGGTCTTTCTGCAGCAAATGCTTGCACAGAGCGATTCCGAATTCCCGGAACTCTAGTTCTGATGAAATCGTCTTGAGGAAGATCGCAAGAACAGAAGGCACACTGGTCAATAAAGGCTCATTGTTATTGCCATCGCCAAATGACCAAGATTGGATGATGTCCGCAAAGCACACTGAGGTCTCATCCTCTTTTCCGGAGTTGGTGATTTGCTTATCGCAATATTCCTTGAGGACACGCAATTTCTCTGCTTTGTCGCTCTCCTTTTCGGTGTGTGCAATTGACAGCAAGAACTCTTTAAATTTGATTATACCTATATGCTAGTCAGTTTTGGTGTAGCTTTGGATCGCTTGCGATCTGCCTCACCTTGCTTTGCCAACGGGGCATTTTGCTGGACAGCCAACAATTCGCGCAATGAAGCAGCAGATTTGATATTGGACGTGACAGTCGGCTTCTCTGGCTTAGGATCGTCAATCTTTCTTCTCTTTGCCCGAGATGGATGTTCTGTGATGTGCGACATGATTCGATGGGTTGGTGTTGTAACTTATTTTTTTTTTTATCTTCAGATGTTCCGATAGCATTGACATTTCCAGCTCGTTGATTGGCCGAGGCCTCCCCGCCCGGGATAAAAGTGTGGATACACCGCCTCTTTATGCCAGACTAATATCCAGGCGGTGTGTTATTAGCCTTCTATAAGTGGAGACAACATCATCTCCATCGTCTACTATGCACACACCTAGTTGTCGATTCCTCTCGTCCTTTATACGATATTCTTGAAACAACAGCTTAGCCAGACTAGACTGGCAGCAAGATCCCGGTACGGGAATGATGCACTTAACACTCTGCCAACGGTGATATGAATGGCCCTGATACATAAAACCTGCTTATCGGAGTCATGCGGCATTAGCAAAGGTGACAGGCTGTTTATTTCCGTGCCTAACGCTGATCATTATTAGCTTATATACTACCCGGACACGGCTCCCGGGCAATTAGCTAGTCCACACTGTCTCAAAGTGGCTAGATCGAGCCATATAGTGTAGTATTGGCTACTACCTTAGAGTGCTTGTTCAAGATTAGCCTAGTAATTTACCTAACCCCTACACATCACTACCCAAGCTGAAACGTGTTCAAACACTTCCGCTTTACATCCACAAGTCCATCCTCCGAGAAAGAAGTTGAAGTCGATCAAACCTTCCCCTCATTCTCCATTATGGCATTTGTCATTAAGCCCTGTTTCCCGGAAGATGCTCCGGGTCTTGCAGCGACCATGATGGGTGCTCGGCTCACCGATCTTCACTGGAGGTGTCTCTGGGATGACCCATCTGTCGGACGTATTATTCCTGGGGCCATCGAGCGCCTTCCTTGGAATTTGGTGACCGGCACAGAAACCAAACGGCATCAGAAAGTTATCGATGTCGAGACCGGTCAAGTAGTGGGGTATGCGCGATGGTGTCTCCCTCCAATTTTGGCAAAGAAGGGCGATGTTTGGCTGGAGGCACAGGTAGCCGAAGGGACTTCCGCCGACCGTGCAGTGTATGAGAAACGGTACCAAGAGAACACCCGAAATGGACAGCCTATAGGCTTAAAAGGCGGGGAGATGATGCGTTATCGCAGTGCGCCTCTCGAAGAAGCGGATGCTCGAATTGTGTCAGATGGACCATTTCTGAGTAAGATGCACACCGATATATCACTAACAGGCGGATGACTGATAGCACTCTCCAGCTCTTGATTATTTGACGACAGACCCTTCTTTCTGGCGCCGAGGCATCGGGAGAATGCTCGTGCAAAGTGGACTGCAAATCGCAGATCAACAAGGAATAAAGACCTATGTGATGTCGGAACCGGCTGCACTGAAGCTATATCTCAGCCTTGACTTTCAACTGGTAGATACGGTATCGGTGGACTACTCCCACTATGGCGGAACAGAGCCCATGGTGGAGTATTTCCTTGTTCGGGAGCCATCTCAGGTAGAGTCCGTAGTTGCGTGACGACAACACAGAATATACAACCAGAAGTTGACGAGCAACATCCGTTCTGATGCCGAGCGCTACGAAAACGAAGCTTGTCCTTCGTGTTATAGCGAATGCTCGTGCATCACTCATCTCTTGCTACCACGTATTAATCCTATAGTAGCCGTCTCTGAATTCGTCGTACACTTCATGACGATATCTTTATATTCCCGAGGACTCGCACATTTCATCCTATCCCATCCCATCACACCAACTAGTAGATGACCTCGGTGGGCTATTTAGACCGTCTAATTCTTCGATCCATTCCTTTCCATCCCTGCTTCCTAACTTATTTCCCACTTCAGCTTCTTCTACTTCTTCTAATCATCCCCCCGCCCCTCCTCTTCAAAACCTCTACCCTCCATCATTCCATTGTTTCAGCCATGGCGAACTATCATCCCAGCCTTGTCATCAAAGGCCAAATGGCCGAGTTGAACGACCTCATGAAGGATATCGTGGCCCTCGATACCGAGATAACCACCGCGGCTCCTCATAAACGGCTTATATTGTGCCTGGAGATGATGAAAAAGACCTCCCAGATCGAGGCTCTCAAGGAAAATATTCAGTGCAAGATTGAGGCATTGGACATCCACCGCAAAAGTTCCCTGGCGAGCCATGCGAGCCAGCTTCACGAAATCACGAATGTCAGAGGCTGTACAGTTGACGCGACTAATGTCAAGAACACCAAGGTAGCCACTACCGGCACCGCACTCAAAGTTCCCGAGCACGGAGATGAAGAATCTGTAGGCTAGAAGACCATTTGACTCCCCTACTACTCTTTGGAACCTACTGACATGACCAGATGGATTGCGATGATTGGATTTTTGTTGAGAAGGATATGGACTCATCTATCTAGAACCATTGACTGGGTTTCCATCTATCTTGTAATCTAACTCCACTACCTAGGGACTTTTGGACATTTAGGATTCAATTTATTGTTCCGTGAAACAAACTATCTCATATTGGCTCCCGGTTGGCTTAAGAAGGACGAAAGCAGCATTTTTCTCGACGTGATGAGAAGTTTCTGCAGATTTATAGTGAAGTAGTCATTTATATAGAAGCAGAATAGTCGGCGGCCTATAGGCTTCTATACTTGATGATATAGGGCGTAATCTAAATATCAAGTTATTTTATAATGATATTACCCGTGGACAGACATTATGATTACATTTCTACAACGGGATCTTTTTATATGCCTTTTTAGGATAATCAGGCACAAACTGTAGAATGGGTGAAAAGCACAATGCCTACAAAACGGCTTTTTGATATATAATATCCACATGACTAGGAGTGTTTATTCAATTCGTTATTACGTTATAATAATTTAGAAAAACCACTTAGATGGCCAATTTCCTGCTAGCGATAAGAGTAATACGACCAAAGCCCCTAGTGGTCGCTATGCACTGCAATACTCCGCACCAGATAGGGAGAAAGGCTTGATGTATTTACGACGAAAACTTTTTGCTAGCAGGGTACTCGGTGGTTTCAAACTGCCAGTATCATGTAGAAATGCTTAGGGGTGAATGGAACAACAAGTGAATTATTCCCATCGAGATATCATACAAGACATACATCCAAAAAAAAGTAACTCCGATATTTTAAGCTAAGTGATTCATGCAAAAGCACAATGGTAGAGGAAATATAAGACGCAAGAGAAAAAAAATCACGATTGCAACCATAGCTGGTATATTGGAAACAAAACAAAAATCAACCCCAGGTTCCACCACCGCCACCTCTGCCCTGCCGCCGCTGGGCAGAGATACGCCAATCGTCTTCGCCAGCAAAGCGGTTGTGCAGTGGCTGGATGCGCTCCGCCTTCTTACGTTTCGATAATCGATCCGTAGGTGCAACCTTGAAGAAAGTAGGTGCCGCTTCCACGAGCCATTTCGGCTCAATGGCAGTGGTGCAGTGCATGTATTCCTTGCTCGTGAGGACCAAGGTGTGGTAGATGACGTGCTCGGCTGGTTTACCGAACATGGCGGAACTGGGGTGCATGTACACGGGAGTTCCTTCCACCAGGGTCTTGTATCCTTCCTGGGGGTCTTTGCGCGCTGCATTGCGGAAGAAGCCGGTGCACAGGGACTGTCGCACTTTCATGGTATCCCGGCCGCAAGAGACGATCCGGTGCTTGTAGCGGTTCATGATGCCCAGCAGCTGCTGGCGCACATCTTGGGCGCGCTTTATCTGTCGTGCTTGGATGAAGTTCTCGAAACACCAGGAGTTGTTGAAGCCTGCGTGTTTCCACCCATTGTAGACATTGAGGAGGGTCAGATGATCGCCGTGCGGATCGTGGAATTTGGATTTCTTCTGGTCTGCTTGTTGCTGCTTTTCTTTAGGGCGGTAGAAGACTGACTGGATTGACAGCATGGCGACAATGCTAAGCATTTCATCGGAGCAGCCCAAATCCACAGATGCAATGAGCACCTTGGCAAGCGCAGGCTCCATGGGGAAATCGGCCATCTTTCGTCCGAGTCGAGTCAAAAGACCCTCGTCATCAAGTGCTGACAAGGCATATAGTTCTTCGAGTGCTGTCAACATTGTGTTGGTAGGCGGTGGGTCCATGAAATCGAAGTGGAGGAGGTCGTTGATTCCCATTGCCTTGAGCATGAGAATGGTATGTGAGAGGTTCTGACGCTGAATTTCGGGAATGGTTGTTGGAAGCATTTCAGACTGATAGGCAGCCTCCGTATACAATCGGAAACACTTTCCAGGTCCTGTTCTTCCGGCGCGGCCAGCTCTTTGCTTGGCTTGCGCTTGAGAAATTGGGGTCACCACAAGAGAATCCATGCCGAGCTTCGGATCGTAGGCGTTCTGTTTCACGAAACCGGGATCAATGACGTAGTAAATCTGATCAATTGTGATCGAGGTCTCCGCAATATTGGTTGCAATGACGACTTTACGTCCGCCTGGGGGTGCCGGATCGAAAATCCTACTCTGCATCTCACTGGGTAGTGCAGAATAGACAGGTAAGACAACCAGCTCAGGGACAGTAGGTCCCAAAGCTTTCATGCGCTCGAATAAGATCTCACATGCTGTATCAATCTCTTCTTGACCCGTCAAGAAGAGCAGGATGTCACCTTGCGGTTCTGTAAGGTGAATTTGCATGACAGTGATGAGTGCGGCATCCAGATAATCAGATTCGGGCTCCTTAGAGTACATGACTTCGACAGGGAAAGTTCGGCCGGGAATGGAGAAAATGGGACAGCCGTGGAAGTATTCGGAGAACTTTTCAGCGTCCAGTGTGGCGGACGTGATAATCAATCTAAGATCGGGTCTCCGCTTGACTGTCTTTTTCAACAATCCGAACAGGATATCAGTTGCGATTGTCCGCTCGTGAGCTTCGTCAAGCATGATAACGGAATATCTCTTGAGGTCTGGATCCAGAAGAATTTCTCTCTGAAGCATTCCATCGGTCATGTACTTGATCTTGGTGTCTGGGCTGGTACAATCCTCAAAACGGATGGTGTATCCAACCTCTGCTCCGAGCTTGCAACCAACTTCCTCGGCCACACGTTTAGCCACTGACATGGCAGCAACACGGCGAGGCTGGGTGCAACCAATCATTCCCTTATTTCCATATCCGCCCTCGGCCAGATACTGCGTCAACTGTGTGGTTTTTCCAGAACCTGTATCTCCGACGACAATCATCATTTGATTGTCCTTCACTGCGTCCAGCAATTGGTTCCGGAACTTGTAGACTGGCAGACTCTCGCGTTGTTGTTTCATGGACATGGTCGTCCGCTTTCCAAAGGATGCATTTTTGCCCATCGTCACTCTCTTCCACTCTGGTACAGCCTCGTCCTGCTTGGGCTGCTGAGCATTCCGAAGATCAGCAGCAAACTTTCGCTCTTCCGGTGCAACCATAGGATCCTGCCATTGAGCATTGAGATCGACATCCGCCGCCTTTTCGGCCGCCTTGTCCTGTGCTTCCTGTTGCTTCAATTCGCGTCTCTCCTTGGCAAGGTTAGTGCCTGCCATTGCAGAACGGTTCATTGAACCATCGGGAGCCTTGACAACACGAATCGGAGAAAGCTCGAGGGATTGTTTCGTCTGGCCAGCCAAGAAGGGAGGCTCCTCGTCTTTGACCTCAATGTCAACATCTTCCTCCTCTTCGAAAGTGCCTTCGCCGGTGAGCGTAGCATTATATTCCTCGTCGATATCGGGATAGTCTGCTGCAGAGGCAACACCGGAGGCAATCAATTGTCTGATCTCCCACCGCTCTGGCGAAGTCATGCGCTTTCGGTTCCTCATTGGCCGACCTCCGGACCCTTCAATGACGGGCACATCGGAGCCGAGGCTGCCGTACCTGTCATCTGCGACTCCACCATCAAGACGCTCCATATTTGCACCAGAAGCAAGGCGCTTCTGGGGAACAAGATCCATGCCTGTCACTTGATCCACCTCCTTCATAGACAGTCCGATGCGAGTGCCTTCGATGCTAGCCACTTTGACTTTGACTGGTTGTCCGCGCGAGACCAAATCTGAGGGATGATTCACTCGTGCTCCTTCTTGCATTGCTGAAACGTGAACAAGACCATCCACCTTCCCCTTGACGCCTTTGAGATTCACAAAAGCACCGAAATCTTTCACACCCGTCACGGTTCCATCATAGACCTTGAAAACAACGGGGTGGTCATCCAGCTCGACAGGAGGGGGACGGCGGAAATCAGTATCCTCGTCGCGATCACGGTGTCTCCGACGGTCACTGTGGCCATTGCGACGGCCGTCTTCCCGATTGCCATATTTTCCAATCGATCTACCAAACTCGTCCACGAGATCATCGTTTTTGTTATACCGCGTGGCACTTCGAGACCTTGATCGCGAGCGGTATTTGTCTCTGCGTCGTCCACGGTCGTAATCGTTGTTCTCGGGGCTGCGGCTCCGCTTCCTCGTTCCACGGTCGTTTCTCGGTGCATGTGGTTTGTCCTCCTTCACTTTTCCTGCCAGGCCCTCGAGCATGGCGAAAGTGTCGTCCATCGCATCTTCTTTTGCATCGGCCTCGTCTGCCGCTTGGCGATCTGTGTAGTCTTCTTCGGCCCAGCGCTTCTCTGTATCGGGGACCGCAAGGCCCTTGAACACGCGGGACTTTTGCTCCAGAGCATCAAGCAAATCCATGTCGTCGTTGACATCAGAAGCTCCCTTGCCGTTCTCCGTTTTCTTTCCCTTATATTTGGGGTGCATCGTGAGCACCATGCGGTCGACACTCTCCAAGAGACTCTGGGGGAATTCGCCGCCCATGTCGTCGAAAAATTTCTTGAAATCGGGAAACTTGCCGTTGCATTTGAGGTGCTGATCGATCACGAACTCTGCGAGGGTCTTGTCGGCGATTCCCAAGTGGTTCTCGAACTCGGTCGTCACGCGCGAGACGAGCGAGAACAGCTCTAGAGACTCGAGATCATCCATGATGGTTGGTAGAACGAAAGAGATCCAACCAGATAAAAGATAGAGCCAGTAAAACTGGACAAGTGACGTGTAAATTAGCGAGCGCGCAAAACACTGCTACCCTGTAGCTCTTCGGACTGTCGCAGTTTGGATCTTGAAGGCGGAAAATTAGTGCAGCCGAAGTTGCCACTGATAAGCCTTATCGGTAGGCACCAAACCTTGGAAGGTTTATAGCACCTTCCAAGGTTGGCACACTCAGTCAGACTTCATTATCGATTTATGGTGGCAATACAGTATTAAAATGTCGCCAGATTCAGACAAATCCATCAAGAAGTGAATGCAAGCCGAAAGCGATGCACAACAGATCAAAAAGAAATAGTAAAGAGATCTATAGGCATTAAGTATTGAGTATTGGAGATCGGTTTTATACATCTAATATACATATTTCTTGTTGTACATATTCATCACTCTTTGGGGACTTCTGTGTCATAGTATGACTCCGTTGAGTCAGACTTCAAGTCGTCCAAGTCGGGGGATGAGCCCTCTTCCTCGCCCTCTGCCTCCGGTGACGACTCAAATAATGAGATTTCGGCCTCGGACGATTCGCCCTCTGCAACCTCTGCACCTTCTAGAGCAGGTTCTTCGGACAGATTAATTTCCATCTGCTCTCCTTCACCAGAGGGTTTCATCCAGTCTCCGGCAACGCCCATACGTTCCTGCTCCAACAACTGTTTCTGCAGCGCAATCTGGCGCTTCAGAGAAGCACCCTTCCGCAGCCTCTTGTTAGCGGAGAATTCAGTCAATGCCCGAACCATCCGCTCTTCAACAAGTTCCTTGACATGGCTTGCCAGAGTTCGGTCAGTGAAGACACCACCGAATCTGAAACTGAGCCACAGATACAAGATAACTGCCCTATGAAGGCTCTCCAGATCATGCAAATAGTCGTTGCTGCCAGAAACGGGCTGCTCGATGACTTCCAGGTTGAGATGGGCGATGTCCAACAGTCGTCCTTCGTGGTGTTCGGCCACGCAGTCCGCCATAGCACCAGTAACATCACGCGAGCCTGAACTTTTACGGTCCATTGGAGAAACCATGAACTTTAACTGGTCCTCAAACGGCAGTCCTTTCACAGTGTCGATAATTTCAGCGTTTTCCAACTGACTGGTAGGGTCACACAAGAAGAACAAAGAGTTGACCCTGGCAATGTCCAAAACTCGCTTGATCAGATATTCGAAAGGTACACCTGGTGGGAAGTAGGCAGCGAATTTCCGGAAAACAGATTCTGGGGGGAAGATGCCCGCCGCACTCAGTGGTGGGGGCTCCAACTTCAGAGCCTGCTGAATATATGGGAGGTCAACCTCTTCGAGACAGGAGATCAGGCCCACGTTAGGCTCCTCGCTTGTGCTTTCCGTGGCATTGGCTGGACGATATCGACCAGCACGCCCACCAATTTGTTTGATCTCAGGGACAGTAAGCCGTTGAAGTCCAGTCGGGACACGCTTGACGAGGGTGTCAAAGATAACGCGCTTGCAGCTCCTATTATGGGTTAGTAGGAAGCGCAAATATAATAGAGGACAGGACTCACAGATTAAGACCCATGCCAATCGCGTCACTTGCCACGAGGAAGTCATAGTCATTGTCTGGGTCATTGAACAGATTCGCCTGTTGGGTCCGAATCTCTGCTGGCAGACCACCATAAACGATGGCTGCGCGTCTTCCGGTAGTCTTCTCGATGTCTGCCTTCATAGCGTGTATGCCTTTCCGGGAGAAGACGACTACACAGTCACCTTTTTCAAGGCTATTGAGATTGCCCTTTAAACTGTGCGGCATCACTTCCAGAGCGTTCAGACGTTCGTAGCGGTGGACCTCCAAATTATCTCCCGTGAGTGCACATAGCTCCCGAATCAATGGTATGGCGCGGGTTTCACCGCACAGATGCAGCTCGGCTGCCTGAGCACCAAGGAAAGCTCGAGTCCATGCCCATCCTCTTGATGAGTTAGCAATCATTTGGATCTCATCGATCACACCGACATCGTATTCCTGCCCTAGGCTGACCATTTCCACAGTATTGCTAGTAATACGCGGTACTTGATCATCCTCGGGAAATTTGACATCGTCACCAGTGACGAGACTACATGGAACCCCATCTGCCTTGAATCGATGATATACTTCTTGCGCGAGCAATCTCAGCGGACCTGCGTAGAACCCATTCTTGCTTTTCGCCAGCCGTTGCAGTGCATGGTATGTCTTTCCGGAATTTGTCGGCCCGACATGGAGATGGATTGTTCGCTGCATCGATCGAGCGCGTGGATACCACTCGGCTGGCCATCGAAGGTCGGCCACTTCTTGCTGTGCTTCCAGGATGGGTGCCGAGAACCTGGCAGTGATATTTTCCGAATACTGCATGTATTCCACCTCCTCCCGCAGACCCTGAAGTCCGGAGGAGAGATAGGCCTTTTGCAGCGCTACCTTAATATGCCGAAGGGGTCCCCATTGTGCAGATGCCTTCTTATCATCTGATTTGCAGGCGTTTTTGATTTGGCGTTCGAATTGTGTCCATCCTTCTAGTGATTCGCCTGATTTGTTCAACTTGCTGTATACATCGCGCAAAGTTGCTTCCACCAGTTCGTTGAAATCTCGTGCGGCCGCAATATCCTGTCGGACAGCCCTTCCGGCGGAACCCCCCACAAGTGTTTTGCCTTTTTTTGTGTCCGATTTCCTGTCCGGGGAAATATCGGGTTTGACCTTTTTCGATCGCTGCAGAATCGAGGTTGTGGTGAAAGGTCGTACAGCGAAACGAGTCAAGGGTCGCAAAGCGCAGAGGGAACGACTACCGCCAGTCCATGGCAGCATTCCTGGATGACGGGGGGCTCCAATCCCGTAGAGAGGAACAATTCGGAAACAAAGAAAGCCGAACAGTTGACAGTGTGAAGTTAAACAAAAACAATGGTAGAGAGAATACAGAATATTAGAGGCCCTGCATAGGAGAGAAACCAAAAAGTTCCCTTATCGAGCCGATCCACTTTAAAGCTCCAATGGTGGGGAAAACCATCTTCCCTTCATATACCTCAGACGGCCACCTAACAACTCTCTTCCCCTTGAACGTCTCGTCAATCTTCTTTACTATCTGCCTGTTCTTTTACTTTCTATTTTTCTTTCTCGTCTCAGTCCTCACCCTGGAGCCCCAAGTTGTGGGCTACCCGCCAGCATGGGCTCCTCGATAATTAACATTCAACGCGACTGTGGGTGACTACTTCTACTACCTCTTGCAAAGAACCCTGGCTGACCTTGAACTGTATGGAATAGTTATATTGAACACAATCCGCAATGCCGGTGGCCATGAGGTGAGACCGACCCCTCCGATCAACCCCTCTACCGCGGATATTGACGGCACATTCCCCCTAATAGTGGAAAGTGTTGGTGGTGGATGAAACCAGCAAGAAATTGGTCGAAGGCGCTGTGAAGGAGGAGGAAATTCTCAATCTCAATGTTTCCAGTGAGCTCGTCTTGTGCTTTGCGCTCCAGGGGATTTCGCTAATGCCACACCGCAGACGTCGAGCAGCTCGAACATCGACGACCGTCCAATGCCGATATGGACGCGTTGTACATATTGTCCCCGGAATCGTACGTGGTCGACTGTCTGATGGCAGATTTTGAGGTGGGCCGATACAGGAAGGCATTCTTGGTGTGGACTTCATGTTAGTGGGCTGGTGAACCCGAGGCCTTTGCGACGTCATTCCGCTCACACAGCTTATAGCCCTCGATCCGCAGCAGCGATCTCGGATTGACCGGTCCCAAATGGCGCGCGAGCGCATTGCGGACTTTTACACTATGAACATCAATTTCTACCCCAGAGAAGCGCGGTTGGTCACATTCCGGGATCCGTGGAGCTTCCCGGTGCTCTTCCACCCGGGTTGTAACAATTTGATTCGGCGTCATTTGGAAGAATTGGCCCAGAAGGTAATATTTACTCTCCAAGGATGTCCTTTGACCATACTGACGTTGAATCAAGGTCGTCTCTCTTTGCGCTTCCCTGGGCGAGTACCCTGTAATTCGGTACTATCGGCCCCGATCTCCGACTCACGAGGCCGCAGTTATGTGCTCCCACTTGGCGCGTTTCATTCAAAATGAATTGGATCAGTTCGCGCAGTATCAGCGTGACTTCCCGCCTCAAACAAACCGCCCCCGAGGCGTACTGCTCGTAGTAGACCGTTCCATGGACTTGTTTGCGCCCCTCCTTCACGAGTTTACATATCAGGCTATGGTCCACGATCTTCTTCCTGTTACAGATGGAGACAAGGTTACCTACAAAACAGTTTTAAATCAGGGCAGCAAAAATGAGGAGGTCAAGGAGATGGAGATTGGCGAAAATGATCGAGTCTGGGTCGCCTACCGCCATATGCATATGAAGGATGTGCTTGGGAAACTGGGCGAGGACTTTGCCAAATTCCGAGCAGCACACCCTCAGTTCGCAGATGAGTAAGTTTCAACAGGCCATCCATATACTAGATCGGACTACTAACTTGGGATTTCAGTAACGACAAATCTAATGTGAACACCATCAAGGATATGTTGGGCGGACTGACAGAATTCCAAGAGGGTAAAGATACCTACACGCTACACCTCAACATGGCCCAAGAGTGTATGAACTACTTCCAGTCCCGCAAACTCTTGGAAGTGAGCTCCACCGAGCAGTCATTCGCCACGGGTCTGGACGAGAACTACAAAAAGGCAAAGAACCTAGCAGCGCAGCTCGTGCAGCTCCTCGATGACGAATCAGTCGTACAAGAAGATCGGCTTCGACTCATACTTCTGTACATCATGTATCGTGGTGGATTGCTAGGTGGTGACATTCGCAAACTCATGGCGCACGCTGGCCTCCCACCAAAAGACGGCGGGGTGATTGCTAACCTCGAACTCCTTGGAGTTCGTGTCGAGAAGCCTCTTAAGGATGATAAGCCACCGGTGCAACCTCTTTTCAACCGGAAAAACCCACAGCCTGAATCAGAGGAGCTCAGCTTGAGCCGGTACGAGGTAGCTGTCAAGCAGATGCTCGAAGACCAGATTCAGGGCAATCTGGACGCGACTTCCTTCCCCTTCACACGCCCGCACACCGAGACGGATGGCGCCATAGCTGCCCAAGAAATGCAGTCACAGCAGGCCTCTTTGCGCAGCGCAAAACCGACCTGGGCACGCACAAGATCCGTCGACCAGCCCCGACAGCGTATAATCGTCTTCATGGCCGGCGGTGCCACCTACAGCGAGTCACGAGCCTGTTACGAAATTTCAGCGGCATACAACCGGGACGTCTACCTTGCCACGACGCATATGCTGACCCCGAGTCTCTTCCTCCGCCAGGTAGGCGACCTCGGTGTTGACCGGCGGCGTCTCGACCTCCCAGCTGACCGCCCTAAACCTACTGCCCCGGCCCATCTCTTCGAGCGCGAGGCCCCTCCAACTCCCGATCCGCCGCCACAGAAGAAGAAGCCCGTCTCAACAGCACACCTCAACCCCCCAGCTCCACCAGAGGCGCTGATGGCTGGTATGTCAATAAACTCAAACGGAAGCGGAAGCAGCCCTGCCTTATCTGGCAGCGGGAAGAAGGATAAGGACAAGAAAGATAAGGAGAAGAAGGAGAAGAAGGAAAAAAAATACCGTTTCTTCAAGTAGCATTCTCCATTTCCATTTCTCTTGATCCCATCCTGCCTCCTGTGTCCTGCTGTCCCCGTCCAGCGCTTTTGTGATACCATTCTTTTCCTTGTCTTTCTGTTGGTCTGATCTGGTCCTGAGCATTCAAGGCGCTTTTCTCAGCGGGTTTTTATTTCTTTCCTCGGATGAGTCCTATAAAGACAAGCCATGGAAATGTTTTCACTGTACTACAAATTATGCTAGGTAGAATTTGGACACCAGTTTCAAGTTGCAGTACTTAGTACATGGTAAATATTCAAGTCAAGTACTCAAACAGAACGAATGCTATATCTTCATTTGAAACTGATATCAACATACAATCATAAATAACAAATAGGGGTATCATCAAACACAAAAGCAAACAAAAGAGCACATCCAACCCTCCACTATCAATCCACAAAATCCACCACCTAAGCCCCCTCCCCAAGATACTTCAAAACCTCATCATTCTGATAAAAAGCCTTCCTCATCCTCTCCGCCCTCTTCTTATCCTCCGCAACCTTATTCCGCACCTGCTTAGAATTAAGCTTCTGCACCTTCGCCGGCGGCGCCGGTCTAGGCGGCAACGGATCTCCATCCCGATCAAGACCCGTCCCCAACCCCGCAGTGCCACGCTTGACGCGAGGTTTGATAGGTTCACGAATACCCTCACGGCCCGATGCGCCGAGCCCAAGCCTACTATCAGGATCCCAGCCGTAGGTAGAGAGGTATCGGAGGCCTGAGCGCGTGCGGTCGAGGTGCGATGGCGGGTGGGAGTGAGTGAGACAGATTTGGTGCGCGAGGGAGGCTTCGTGCGGACGGGGTTTTTGGTCTGTTGCGTCTGCTGGGGTTTGTAGCGCGAGAGGTAGCTTGCACACGTCGCAGTATTCTGGGCCCGCGGGCGCCGCCGTGGGCGGAGGCGGGATTGTGTCTGGAGTTGGTGGCGCGGACTGGGTCCGGATTGGTGGTGATAGTGGTGCGCGCTGGGTTGGTGTAGTTGGTGATGTACTTGGGGCAGATTGGCTCATTACGATAGAGAGGTATTTGTCTGCAATGCTTGTGCCGGAGGAGGAGGGCTTTGGGGCTGTTGTTGTGTCTAGATTGGAGGAGCGCACAAACTCCACGCGTTTGCGACGGACACCGGAGCTGAAGGGGCGTTGTTGCTCCGGTGGGAGGAAATAGTCTTCGTCTTCGGAGGCCATGGTTGAGTATTGTAGAGCTGTGAAGGCAAGGAAACAAGGAAGAAAGAAAGAAGATTGGGGGGCGGAGCGGAATTAAGAGGTGGCGATAAGATGAAAGATAAGCGGAGATGTGGACGTGTACGTTGAAGAAATTCCTTTGGACACACACCTGTCCTCTCTCTTCCCATCTTCCCATCTCAATTAAATATGCCCATCCCCATCATTGCCCAGGGTCTCCGGGATGGCATCTCGTCCATCCCGCATGCCTGGACATTCCTCCGCATAGCACCATGGGTGCTAGCCCTGGCGGCACTGAAATACTATTTCGAAGGAGCCCGCAACGGCTCCGAGCGAATGATGCGATCAAAAGTGATAATGGTGACGGTAAGACACTCCTCCAGCACCGCACCACCTTCCAATTAATTTAACCAAGCTAACAAAACCCAAAACCATTAGGGCGGCACCTCCGGGATTGGCGCAGAAGTAGTCCGCGAGCTCGCAACTCGCGGCGCCCAAGTAATCCTCCTAACCCGCCAACCACCCTCTGACCTCTACCTCTCCGAATACATCGACGACCTCCGCACCAGCACCAAAAACCCTCTAATCTACGCTGAACAAGCCGACCTCTCCTCGCTACACTCAATCCGCACCTTCGCAACAAAATGGATCGACAACATCCCACCCCGCCGATTAGACTGCATAATCCTCGCCGGCGGCACAGCAGAGCCCTCCGCACCCCGCGCCCTAACAACGGACGGCATCGACCCAGAATGGCAAACAAACTACCTCGCAAACTTCCACCTCCTCAGCATCCTCAGCCCGGCACTACGCGCCCAGCCCGCACACCGCGACGTGCGCGTGATCTTCGCAACGTGCTCTAGCTACATCGGCGCTGATTTCAGCAGTCTGGACTCTGTGGCGCGGGGGAAGCAGAAGGTAGTCACGAAGCGGACGAAGAGTTCACCGGCACTGTACGCTCAGCCCAAGGGCGTGTACGCGCTCAGCAAGCTTGCGTTGACTATCTTCGCGCACTCGTTCCAGCGGCATTTGAATGCTTACGAGAGGCCAGATAGTCTGCCGCCTTGTACGCGGGTTATCGTTGTTGATCCCGGGTTGACGCGGACTCCGGGGATGCGGCGGTGGTTGACTGGTGGGTCTTTGTGGGGTCTTGCGTTGTACTTGCTCACTTGGCCTATTTGGTGGCTGCTGTTTAAGTCGCCTGTGCAGGGTGCGCAGAGTATTCTGTATGCGGCAATGGAGCAGGAGTATGGACGGGGTGGGGGTGGGTGGTTGATTAAGGAGTGTCGGGAGATGGATTACGCGCGGGCGGATGTGCGGAACGATGAGGTTGGGAAGAAGCTTTGGGAGTTTAGTGGGAAGATGGTTGAGGAGGCGGAGAAGGAGAGTGCTGTTATGAGGGCTTTGGAGAAGAAGGAGGTTGAGGTTGAGAAGCAGAGGGTTGAGGCTGAGAAGGTGAAGAAGGAGGCGGCTGAGAAGAAGGGGAAGAAGGCTGAGGGGTCGAGGAGGAGTCGGAAGGGTCAGAAATAAGTGAGATATGTGTATACCTACATATTTTGTAGGTATGGTATTATATGATTATATAGATCTAGTCGAGCTCTACCGTGATGAAGAGAACAGGCTCAAAATTTATAGACCAAGCATCACAAAAAAGGAAATTCGTTTCATGTATTCTACCAACTAGATCCAGGGCTTCTATATCAACATCGGCAAGATCATTACAAGCCACAAAACACAATCACATCAGTACTCGAAGTCAATTTACTTCTTAAGCTGAGCGAGCAGCTCAGCAGGGGGCTGCTGGCGGTAACCCTGGGGGTTGTTCTTAGTCCAGAGCCAGAGATCCTCGCAAGCCTGCTCGAGGGTACGCTCAGCCTTCCAGCCGAGCTCGGTGTTCGCGCGGGTGGGGTTGGCAGTGAGGTTGAGGACATCGCCAGCGCGACGGGGAGCAAGCTCGTAGGGCTGGTCCTTTCCGACAGCGGTGGAGAAGGCGCGGATCATCTCGTAGACAGTGCTGCCCTTTCCGGTACCCAAGTTCCAGGCGCGGACACCGGGGTTGTTGGCGCGCAGGTAGTTCAGGGCCTTGAGGTGGCCGTCTGCGAGATCCAGGATGTGGATGTAATCGCGGATGGCAGTGCCGTCGTGAGAGGCGTAGTCTATGGTGTGTTAGATTGGGGGCTTTTGTAATGTGGAAAGGGAGTTGCATACCATCACCGAAGACCATCAACTTCTCGCGCTTGCCGGTGGCAACCTGGGCAAGCAGAGGAAGCAGGTTGTAGGGGACACCTTGGGGGTCCTCGCCCATAATACCGCTGGGGTGGGCACCGGCGGGGTTGAAGTAGCGGAGCAGAGCGCCGTTCCACTTCTTGGCCTCGGCCTCATTGCCGGCCTTGGTGGCGTTGTTACGCTGGGCGTTGATCACGTCGGTGATGGCGGTCTCGACGGCGAACTTGGTGTTGCCGTAGGGGTTGGTGGGGCCCAGAGGGCAGTCCTCAGGGATGGGGATCATGTTGGGGAAGCGGGTGGCATCGCCGTAGACGGTGGCGGAGCTGGAGAAGACAATGTTGGTGACATTGTTCTTGACCATGGACCGCAGGAGGTTAATGGTGCCGTAGACGTTGACCATGTAGTAGTCCAGGGGCTTCTCGCCGGACTCGCCAACGGCCTGAATTGGAGCAATTGAATTAGCCATTGGATCATACTATATGGTTTGTAGTTTCTGGTTTCATCGGATACACACCTTCAGGGCAGCAAAGTGGATAACGCTGTCAATGTCGGGGTGGGCCTCGAACACCTTGTCGAAGCTGTTCTCCTCGGTGACATCGAGCTGGATGAACTCGGCCTTCTTGCCGCAAATAAGCTCAACACGCTTGAGGGCCTCGGGCGAAGAGTTGTACAGGTTGTCGGCAACGACGACCTTGTAGCCAGCTTCGAGGAGGGCGAGGGTGGTGAACGAGCCAATGTAGCCCGTGCCACTTGCGGGGAATTAGTTGTAACTCCAATATAAGATCCCAAACAGGGTATTCAACCACTTACCCAGTAACAAGAACTGAACCAGAAGGCATGATTAAATTGTGATAATTGTAGAAAGATGGGGGAGAGTACGGGGATTCCGGAGTAGAAAGCGGACGAGGGGCAGCTTTTAAGGGGAAATTGGAGGTGGGGGAGAGTGGCCCGGTGTATTTCCACCACGTGGATATGCGATGATGCGGCCTTGGTTTGATCTTCATTTGTTTTATATTGGTTTACAATAATTAGCATCCATTGATCTACATGTTTTCGTCTCTAATTTCCTTTTCCCTCCCAATTGAGGTTATTAGATTGTTGATGCGGACAATAATGTACATCAAGTATGTCTTGTTGACCGAGATCGTGGCAGTGAAAACAGCCCTCAATTTCAAAACAGGCAAAGATGTGCAAAAATGCACAAAGACATCCCTTAAATTCCCCGAATTCCCCTGAAACTCCTGAATTTCCTGCAAGCAGCGTTGTTTCAACTGTGCCGAATAGGGACATCTGCAAGGGGGTCCAGTCCGTTCCCGGGGAACTGTGGGCCAAAATATTATTTACTGTGTTGAATATAGAACATTGAAGTGAAATTGGTATTGGAAAAAAAAGTAAAATAAACCGGGTTCAGGCACAATAATACAACCTGATTTTTGCCAGGCCCCGGATTCCCAGTAGATGTGGTAGATAGTGAGTGTGTTGCATTCCAGCAACATGGCCATGAGACCAATGAGTACTCAAGGTCTTGGGGCTCATTCTCATTCATTCAAGTCTGAAGTCTGGATGAGCTCAGAGAGAAGTGGTGGTTAACATGCCTTGGGTATATACCCAAGGAAGGGTCAAAATTCAAGTAGCTTTTTTAACCAAGGAGCTCAACGTCCAGACCAATGGCCCGCATGAAAAGGTTAACGTTGTTCAGGCGCTGACTGCCCATGTCGGCAGGAAGGGTCTTGCTGTATCCCACGGTTTCCATGACACGGTCCCTATAAGAGATTGATTAGCACTGTTTGTCTGCACTAAATCGAAATGGAAACACTCACTTAACGGCAATGACCAGACGCTGCTGCTGCTCAGGACTGGCGCCAATGCCCACGGCAGCAAGGAACTGCCACACATACATATCGTCACCGGAGCTGATCGATCCGGGGAAAATATCATTCAATCCGAGTTCCAGAGTATCAAACAGCACATTGAACTTCTCAACCCACTGCTGCCAATCGTGCTCGGAAGCCTGACCGGCCTCCTTGACGATCTCGGCACGACTGAGCAACATGGTCAAAATGCCCAATCCAACCTTGGTGCGAGCCACGGTCTGCACATGGGTTTGGTTGATGACCAATCCCAAAAGACCAATAATAATGTTGAATGGCGCCTCGTTCACGTATCCCAAAAGGCAGGGCATGACGGCCAGCGAGAACAGGTCAATGGCTTCGCGCACACCGAGCGAGGGCTGGGCCTCACCCGGCACGGGCTGAGCAAGACGGACCACATCCAGGCTATCCAGGTGGACGACAATCATGGTGAGGATAGTGACACGCTGTTCCTGATCAATGTGACGGAAGATGCGAGGAATGGCCTTCTTGCCCTTGGGGTACGACAAGAATGCGATAAAGGGGTGTGGTGTTGTCGAGTTAGGCACAATTGGTTCCATCACCTTCAATGACCGCCACAACTTCTGGTTGAGCGAGTGAAGCTTCTGTCTCCATTCCATGTGTTCTTGGATTGCTTCGGCGTCGCCTTCCTCGGGGGGTGGCGGCATCGTGCGCTCCATGTCTTCCATTGCCATCAATGCACTGTAAACACCTTCGAGATTCGTAAGGATCGACTTGCGATCACTGAGACTCAGATCCGACTGCTTCTTGGGTTTAGGTCCCTCTGAGCTATCAGGGCGCTTAATGTTCAGCATCGGCTTGGGCGCCTTGGCATTGCTAAATGAAATCTTGCCCAAGCTGCCCTCGATGATAAGCTGCTTGTTCTTGGGCTTGGCCTTTGCCGCCTCTACGGCACGCTGGACCTGCTGCTGCATTCGCTGCATGTGGTTGTCGGCACTCTGGAAATTGCCCCGACGATGTCCGCCGAGCCGGTTACCAGTCTGGAGCAGATAAGTCTGGGCGAAGTGACCAAGAGGCTGGTGGGGGTGTTGGCGCGGCGCGCCACGAATCTGGCTGTAGACCTGGTAGTAGAAGTCCTCCGCCAGCACAGCCTCGGGATCCGAATCCGCAACATTTCCAGCAGCCGCGACCAGCTGTTGCAACTGGATACGGGTGATGAAATTCTTGTCTTGCGGGGTCATGAGACCGTTGCCTCGAGACAGGAGGAAGATCTTGTGGTTGCGCTTTGCCCGCTTAGCATCCTCCACCAAATAAGTGTTACGCTGCTCTTCTGTGAGATGCATGAGTTGCTGCGGGTTAGTGATAACCGGCATTCCATTGTTGGCGGCCCGGCTAGGCGGCGGCCCTTGCTGATGTGGAAGAGGTTGCTGGGGCTGCTGGGGTTGCTGGGGGCGCTGGGCCTGGGGTGGACCGGCATGGCGCGGGCCAGGAGGCGGCATGTTTTGCGGGGGGAGGTTGGCGTTCTGCATCATATGCAACGGCCCACCAGGTGGCATATGTCCAGGGCCACCATAGAGCTCTGGCATACCAGGCGGTGGGTGTGGCATTTGCGGGGGTAGGTGGCCCTGCTTCATCTGTGCCTGGATGAACTCGGGAGGCACCGGAGGGAACCCATCAGGAAGCGTCTGTAGGTGCTGGAGCTGAGGTGGGTACTGAGGCTGCTCCACCATGGATCGCAGAAAGGCTTCTGCAGCTGGGGTCGCGGTAGTATGGCCATGATAACGCATCTGTGCCTCGACCTCTTCCAAGCTCATCATCTTCCGGCTCGGGGCAGCAGCAGCGGCAGCCGGTTCAGCTTTCTTCTGCGAGACACCCCAGACACTAGATTTGGCTTGTAAGTCCGGAATATAGCCGGGATCCGAGTACTTCTCATAGCCTGAGCGCTTGGTGGTCTGCTGGGGGGCGGCCGGCTGAACAGGAGCATGGGCGGGTTGGGGAGCGACTCGGCCTGCATTGGGATTTTGTAGGCTAAAGCGAACCTGCTCCTCCCCAATGGCGTCGGAAACCTGAGCAGTCTTTCCAAAGAAATCAAAGTCTCTGCCAACGGATTTATCGGGGCCGGCTCCGCCAAACGTGTCATCGTTGAACTCGTCCTGGTCGTCAGGAAGCTGATCTCCGAGACCATCGTAGGTATCCTCGAAATCAATCCTAAATGATGATAAGTACAATGGCCCATTCCAAGCCATTAAAAAATGATAAGCTCACACGTCGTCATCTCCCAGCGCATTAGCTCGAGCAATATCGGCAAAGGGATCCGGGTTTTCGAAGAACCCTTTGGCCCCGGAACCATCACGGTCCCTAGGTAGGGTTGTGTCAAATCCAAAGAAAGCCATCCTCTGGATGAGGAAGGATGAGAATGAGGTGGGGAGGTGAATAGCTTAGTGGGGGGAAGTTGAGGAAAGGTGCGATCGA